GGTGGCGATGACCGGGTACCCTAACTGGTGGATCCGCCACTGAGTTGTTTTAATCCTCTTTGATGTTTTCTCTTTGATCTGTCGGTCATTGGTACAGCACGTCGGGTCCTACTCGGACCCAAGTCCAGATGAAATAGTTCTTACTCATTGTGTTACATTACAAGAAAAAGTTTTGTGCATGAAATTGAGTGAGAAGGAAAAAAATATTGTTAATGGTCAAGTTATCTAACAAAAGGTACAATATACACACTTTAATCCATTCATTCCTTATTCCATCCGACGCTGCACACTACTAGCGAGTCGCTAGGAATCAGAAATCGTCATAAATTAGTTGTTTAAAAATCTTTTTCAGATACTTGAAAGAATATGTAAAATATACTACTTGTCTACCAGAAAAGGAAAGAAGTATGTTGTAAGTTCGGAGTGATCATCAAATTCGATTAGAAAAGTTTGTTAGCGCAGCCCCTTCAGGACTAAAATGTGGAACTCACATATGATTTTTCATCTAATTTTACTAATACACAATACGTAAAGTTTGAAATGCACTGCAAGACGAACTTGGTGGAAAAGAGCGAAAATGAAAATAGCGAAAGAAAGACAGAAAACTGCCATATATGGATATTTTTGCTTTCTTTTTTTTCGCTATTTTCCTTTTCGCTTTTTTCCACTAAGACTTGCAAGACAATCGATCGGTAGAAAAAAATGTTGTATTGAGTTGTTGAATGCTTACTAATGTTTGTAATGTATCGTGGTTACCTGTAATGGTGGGTGGGTTCTGTAATGGGGAGCGTTGAGAATGAGGATCCGTAAAACCCTCGCTTTTAAACTTACACTCATCATTTTCTTCGAGAATATATGTGAGTTCGACAAAATTTGATTACAAGCTTAAGAGCACCTTTCATTTCAGATCTATTTTTGATTAATAAATCAGATATTTGTTAAGAATGCCAGCTTAACTTTACATTCGAGTAAAAGAAGCATGTTTAAAATTTGCAGCCTAAAGAGTTAAAGTTCCAATCGATTTTTTCATCAAAGCATTTTTTTGTTTAGAACTATTTTTTTTCATTAAAAACAAATTGTAACAAAAGAAAGATTTATTGCAATTTTTTTTCTGAAAAATATACTTTAAATTTTGACTTTTTAGAAAGTTAAAGTTTATCAGCTATGCTTGTTTTAGCTTTAAATTTAAATTCAAAGATAAAAGGTGAGATACGCTACTTTAAATGGAATAATTTCATGAGAGTAGTTTCAAAGTTATAGTATCGCCACTAATATGAATACAGAAGTTTTTGATGTGCCGGGTCCGAGCCTAGCAATTTTAATCGGACGGGTCCGAGTCCGGGTTCAGGTTCGAAAATTCTGATTGACCCGGTATGGGTCCAAAAATCCTTGAACTCGACGGGCTTTAGTCGTTGGGGGCCTTGTTTTCCATTCTCTCTCTCTAATCTGTTCAGTTGTTGATCATTATGTTCATCGACAGTTACCATCTTTATGAATAAAACATCATTAGCTTTATTATTAATGTTATTATAAATAATATTAACATACACTTAACCTGTTGGCATCCCTAATCTTTATTTTATTCTTATGACGTCCTGGAAGCATGGTAAGTCGTTTTATAGTGAACTCTCTTTACCTGAATGTGAATACAAATATATTGTCCCCAAAGAGATATTACAATTTAGCCTATGTGATACACGGAGGATAAAGTCTTATTGGGAGTTTCATACATCTCTATGTTAATATCCGCATATTACCTAAAAATGATGCTTAAAACCAAAAATGAAATGTTGTTACTCCTACACGATCATGGAAAATAGATGAACGTATAGATTTTAAACAGTTAAATTTTTGTAGTACATCTAATTTGCTTCTTCTTATTTGAGTCTTTTTTATGAAAAGTATTTCCTTCAAAGTCGAAACAGAATGAATTTGAATATTTTAGGATATTATCTAGACTTCTAGAGCATAAGACAGCGAGTCGGCATCAGCATTAAACGATAGAAAATACGATGCGCTACGGGGCCGTATTTTCATTGTAAACGGTCGTTATTACGGTAACTGGACAATTCGTCGCAGACTATACGTCTCATAGTTAATCGGATGTAACACAATTAACGGAGAGGTAGAGAAAGAAATTTATTCATAGAGAAGTCTAGTGAAAATCATTTCTTTTTAGTTAAATTCACCTTTGAAATCTCAACTGTGACATCAAAAAATCATTTTGGCGAAAGCTTTTTGTTCTAAATTATAATTGTAACTTTCATTGCCGAGCACAGACTTTTCTCTCTCGCTTGAAAATTTCTTGATTATACTCGTTTTTCGTGAAATAGTAGTAAATAATTATATTAGTATTCAAAGCAAGTGACTATCTTTACTTTCTAGAATAATGTTATACTTAGGTTTCAAAATAATTGTTTTTTTTCTATTATTCGAAAATACTATTATAGAATTTTTCCTTTTTGCTCACAATGGAGGTGTTTGTACTGTAAGTTGAAAAGACTAGATATTTTTACATCAAAAGAAATCTCTCACTGACAAACCAACAAGGTTAAAATATTAGCCCCCTTTGGCTTGCCTAGAGGGAGATACTCGATTTCAGTGAATTTTCTCTACGTTTTGAACAAACCCTCTTCGAGATATGAACCTCTCAAAATATAGACGATTTTCTATAGAAGATGTATGCTTGAGACATCTATGTTTCGAAGAGAGTTTTTCCAAACCTTCTGACTTTTTTCTATAAGCTAGTCTCCTTAAGATCTTCATGCATACATAGTTTCAGGTTCAAATTCAAAAATATGATATTGCTGGGAAAACCGGTCCTGTAGAGAAAATTCACTGAAAAATCGAATATCTCAGTCTAGGAAAACCGATAGCAGCTAATATTTTAACCTTGTTAGTTTGGCTATGAGAGCTTTCATTTGATCAGAAAATATCCCATTTTTCTCACGGACAGTGCAAGCACCTCCATTGCCAGCGAGGATAACAGAGCTATAATTTGATACATTAATTTAAACTCGGTTTTAGTTAAGCCAAATAACAGAACGACATAGCACAGTTCTAATCAATTACAGTACATTCGGGATAAATAGTCTGACAACAAATTGTCTACGACGAATTGTCCAGCGACGAATTCGCCTATCATCCGTTATTACACCTTATTACCACCTTATTACCACCGTTAACGACACCGTAACGCCCTTTATTTTGATGGCACTGGAAGATATCAGAATATTTAGTTAATTCGTAAGTATCAAGCTGTTTTGATTTATATTTATGTAAAATACTTTAGAAAATTAATCAAACTCGATGATTTAATTTCAAAATTATCAAATTTTGTTAGTACTCGCGTCGAATAATATGTATTTAATCGATCTAATCCACCATAAAAAAGTCAAACGTGAACAAGATGCATCATTTGGTGATAATAATAATATCCTAGATCAATTAACTTGGGCTGTGCACGCCCGTTTGACCATAATTTACGGCCGTTTGGTATGCACCGTATTACTGTCGTTTTGCATCTTGCCAAAAATAATCGTATACGGTTGGATACTGAGATATTCAACCACATTAATGCTGTTAGTAACCGTTTACGACACGGTGAAATATGGCCTTAACACGGTGCACCCAGGAGAATGATTCCGATAGTAGGATCCTATCGAATTCGTGTCGGAATCTTATCGGATATAGTATGGATTACATTAAATCGACGAAATCCTATCGGTATCCGGATTTGGGACCTACAATCGGAACCCTAGTGTTGGAATCCGATAGGTTCCAGTGTCGGAATTTAACGGAATCCAACATAAGTAATCGACTCATGTGTTCTGTTGACACCATATGCTTATTCATTGGTGATTTAAAAAATTGTTTTTTCCGTCAAATCTGTTAGTAGATCCTAGATCAGGAATCTGATCGGATTTTGTCGGCCTGTCCGATCCCATGAGATCCGATAGGATTCATTGTCGGATTCGTTCACCTGGGTATGCCAAAACGTCAACTTACGGCGATTTAAGGCCGGAAACGTTATAAAACAGTAGTATTCGTTGCTGTATGCGGTCTTTTACGATCGTGTCAGGTCGTCGTAATGTTCATCCTGGGAAGTCTTCATCAATTAATCCAACAACAGTTAGTACTTTTTATTATGCTTTTGGTTCTCAATCGACATCAATTCTTGGGTGATTGAATACGGTCATCAGATACGGACCGTATTGTTCGATCAGGATACCTGTGTTCAACTTGCAATCGATGGTGGTGTTAGCGGTGGAGCCAGTATTTTGGTCTAGGGGGAGCTGATCCATCTTTTTTTCGAAAGTCTGTTTATAATTACAATAGTAAAACCTATTTTTGAATACCTTCAAGCTTGATGCATTTCTGTGCGTCCTAATATCCTATTGAGTCACTTCTTGTTCTTGTCATGTATTTTTTTATATATCTATCAACATATGATCAGAATCCATTTGAAATTTATTTCATATCAGTTAATTAAATTAACACAATTCTACTATTTTTATGTTTCATGGCAAATACATCAACAACTTTTTCGAAATCTATTTCGAAATCTCGTTCTATAGCCAATACACTAAGACCACTGAGTCTCTCATCACCCATCGAGTTTCGAGCATAATTTTTAATTAATTTCATTTTTGAAAACGATCGTTCACACGCAACAGATGACACGGGAAATGTGGCAGCGCCTTTGATCAAAGCCACAGTCGAGGGAAATGCTTGTTTCATTGGCTTTAATTCATTAAGTGTATTCAATATACTTGTCAATTTAGCATCTTTAATTATGGGTTTTATAATCGAAATTTCATTGTGTATCACATTTTTTTCAATGATAGATGATCAATTAACGGTTCCAACATTTCCATTTCTAAAACGTTTTTCACTAATTGGACATCAACAGGCGACGCTGTTTGCTATTTGCAAGTTTTGACACGAGAATCGTTCTTTTAATTCAACCAATGTACAGTCAATTGTTGGAAAATACATAGTTAATCTGTTCGATAGGTTGCTAAATGAGGTTGTGCAGGAGGATCTTGACGGCTTTGACTCACACCAACAGGAAACAGATTTGATGAAGATTTTGGTGGTAGGTCTTGAATATTTAAAGATGAATTGGTGGCATGAGCCCTGAGAACATCTGTTGAACTGTGTTCCGATTGACACGGAAAGATTATAGTATTCATTGTAGTTGCAGATGATGATGAAGATGACGTGTTCGAAGTGAAATTTAGAATAGTGTGTTTATTTCGAGGTACTTTACTGGATATAACGAAACTATCAAGTGTAGAGTTACGTTTAGAGCTTTTATTTTGCATGTTTATCTATAATCTATAATATTTACAAAAAAATACTTCCTTAGAACCAATATTTCATCTCATGAGTGGAATTTTCCCGTCTTCTATCGTCAATATTTTAAGTCGTTTTATTAATTTACTGTGAAATCCAATAGAATGAAGATAAAAATAAATACGCTCCACTATCTGATTCACAATCAATATTCATACAATGATATAAAAGTGTTGCTTATGAAATATGAACAAAAGAAATAGTAGATAATAGTTCTTAATCCGCTAGAAACAGACAAGCGGCTATAGTAACTTTTACTATGTGCATTGCAATTCTTTCTTTGAAAAAGTCTAATAGTCTAATTGGAGCTAGAAAAATTTAAGGAGCTAAAGATTTTCTAGAGGGAGCTCAAAAATTCCTAGGGGGCTCAGTTCCCCCAAGCTCCCCCTCTGGCTCCGCCACTAGGCGGTGTGTTCAAATCTTGGTTCAAACTATTGTTGGACAAATCCTCATTTTGTTGCTCACGCTATTTAGGTGCTATATCATAGTTTGCAATGATGCGTCAGCTCGACTCCGACATAGACTGATAGGTATTTTAAAAAAAATTTTTGACAATAAAGTAAACGCATTCAGACGCGCTCAACTTTGTGAATGCATACAAATGCGCCCATATATATAAACTAGTTGTGATGCTCTTATATTTCAAACACATGCAGATGTGCTTCTTTAATCTGAACGCGTTTGGACACCCTCAATGTTGTATTTTAGACCCGTACAAATGCGTCAAATACTCTAGCATTAAACGCTCAGAAAGGCGTTGGAAACTTAAATATGATTACATGGGATAAAGTTCTCTCAATCTTCTAGCAAAAAACGGCATCGAATATTTGTTTAAACTATTTATAATTGAGTTCTAAAACGAGCAACCAGTTTTTGAAAAATGAATTAAAATATTCATTGAATGAGTCTCAAAAATGTTTCGTGCTTAGCTTTGAAAGTGCTGAATAGTGAGGATTAATATTATATACAAAATATATTACATAAAAATTTCAAACTGTATTTAGATATTTTTCTGGGCTATCGTAGTCTGCTCATAGAATGAGACAACTATTGATGGTATTCAATTTTTTTTTATTTAAAAATTTTATTCTAAGAAACATTAATAAATAATTAGCATTGGGAATAAAAAATTTCGTTGCTAATGAGATTTTTTTTTTTTTACAAATACTATTGGAAACTTTCGTGAATAATAATCATAAGTAAATTATTAACACTCGTATATACATATTATATCTAACAGATTGTATTAGCTTGATTAATTATTTTGCATGACATGCTATTGAAGTAATCAAAGCTGAAGTCAATATATGTTGTCGACGATGAATACGTGATTGACTACGTTTGCTCGAAAATTCATAGGGGTTGATAAGAAACTTGAATCGTGGATTGTTGATAAGTAATATTTCTCCATTAGAATATTCAATTTTAGTATCTCTTGGATTTTCTAATTCATTCCTGTCTTCTTCGCTTATTGACATGGTTTGTACTGGTTTACATAGTTGTGATGCACATTTAGTATGTGGCTTTTGATGCCGATTCGTCGATCGATTTTTATTCCAAAATTTATTGTTATCAATTTTTGAGGGAACATTTTCTTGCCAAGTATATGAAGTGTGTTTATCGTGCATGAATCTCAACCATTGTTGCTGAAGTACATGCTTTACAATATCAACGCGGGATTGGTCTTCTATTGAAATAATTATCCAAATACCATTAACAGCTCGAATTGCTTGGAAGTAATTCGAACATTTTGCTACAAGATCACATTTTATATGAGCGATTTCATTTAGTAAATCCTTCGATGTTGTTGATGTTACAAATTCAAGAGAAATATGATGCATTTTCTTTATAGCATCTAATTGACTAGATTGTTGCAGAGAAAATTGATTTGATAACATAGCTTCCATTTTTGAGTCGAGCAAAGTAAGAGAAGATAATACAGTGTAATGAACAATCTTTGATGGTAATGATCGAACATAATTAGCAGCATTTTGTTCCAAATCTAATTGAAGGCAAATAAATCTTAATTGATTAATATCCAATGAGGTTAACGGTAATCCTATTGTTAAAGATGGCATATTGTTTCTACGATTAGGACATGAACAACATCGTTTTGAAAGCTTCTGTAATGTTGAGACAGTAAATTCTTTTGTTAGTCGTATTTGATTGACAGTTGCATGGAATTTAGCAAGAAATTGACGATCATGAACAAGACATACCATTATGACAAACGTTTTGTCGAATGCAATACTACATGTGTTTTCTTTTCATTTTTATAGTAATCAATGAAGAAGAAAGGAATTACACAATATTATGACTCATAGGGAAATTTCATCATTACATCATGTCACTAAGTTGAAACAAGAAGACAGATATTACAATTATTTCAACTATTTTGCTTCTCAAGATTAATAAATATAGGCAAATTTTACATATTCATAGTAGAACATCGCTTTAAATAATTTTCATAATATTGATTCAGACCGCAAGTTACTTATGAATCATCTGTAAACGACTAAGAATGGATAGATACTCAAGTATGATGAAATGATAAAAACAAATGCAGAGGCTTTTTATTAGAGCCATTTTTTTATATTTCTTTATACCATCAACCAAACATCAGTTATTGACAATAAATAATTTTTGTACGGATTAAACTAGTATAAAAAAACATCAAATTTTCAAGCATATGACAATAAGCTATTGATGTATGTTAATTTTCTTCTTTTAAATTATGGTGTGAGTTGATATTGGCGAAATGTCTCAAATAAACATGTTTTTCTTCCTTGTGTTTTTCATTTTTTATTAAATTTTATTTTATCGAGTGATTAAAATTTTCACTAACTCATAAGAAACCGTGCGCAACAATAGTACTCCGTTTAGTTCAACTGTTTAAAGTTTTTCATCATATAGATTATGAGTGATTTTTGTTTGAAAAAAATTGTACGATATGAATGATAGAAAATATCAAATAAAGTCACGTTAAAAAGTCTCACAACTGAAAGTGTAATCTGCTCTTCTGATATTCGATTATTAGACAATGATGCCAATAATTAATAACCTATTCATATATCCTAACTTATTAGATTGATTATAAATGTTAATAAAAACAATTTACAACTATATGCATATATATTAGATAGATTGAACACACATTTAAAACAATGTCGCTATAATTCATGCATTCAGTTGTATCCTAATAAAATATATAGTGTTAAAGCTTTTCTTTTAACCAAAATTCTATGAAATAACAAATCAATACTCTTTAGTGTTTTATTTTTATACAATCATACTTTTGTACACGGAACAAAAAGAAATCATTATTTTCTAGAAAAATGAACAGAACAAAAAGCAATAATAAAACAAAAAGATGAAAATAAAATAAATTCAAGTAGTTCTTTCGGCTTCATTGGTATTCGTCATAGCTGGCGATGATGGCGTTTGTCCTGCTCCATCTTTTTTCATTGTTAATTTCTTCAATACATCATAATTTATTTTACTTGATAAACGTTTATCTTGTGAATTTTTCTCAGCTTCAATTGCTAAATGAGCAGCAGCAGCTAAGCCAGCTGGTGTCAATGAATTAAAACCAGCTAACTGATGATGACTAGTAGCAGTATTTGCTAATTTATTTAGTTCACTTGCTGCCGCTGCGGCTGCTTTCTTCTTACGTTTGCGTCTTTGGGCTGCTGTCATACTATTGGAGCCATTTTTCTTTTGTTCAGCAGCTTCTTTATTGCGTTGACGTCGTTTTTCTTCTAAGAACCAATCTTTATTTTCACGTAACCACGATTTCAATTTCAATTTTGTTTCATCACGTGTTAGAATCATTTCATCAATTTCATTATCATCGATACCGGTCAAATCAAGTTCATCATTCGATAGATCTATTGTTGGACGCCATTCAGGAAGATCAAGCACAACTTGATGTTGATGATGTACATTTGATGTTGTTGCATTAAGATTATCTTTGGGATAATTTAAAGATGCTGTTACTGGTTCTAAAAAATAACAAATTGTTTTTTGTATAATTGGTCAATGTATCATTATTATAAATAATTAATCAATAACTTACCAATACCCATCGTTTGTAAAGACGGTCGAAAAGATTTAAAATCATCTTCCTCATCCTGTTCTTCATTATCATCATCGTTGTTAACCACTGGTTTTCCCGCATTATCATCGAATAACGAAAGAATTAATTGTGTTTGTTGTTCTTCAATATAATTAGCAGCCCATTTCATATCATTCTCATCGATAGGTGCTGATTCTTTTTCAGTTGTCATCGTTGTTGATAAAATATCATCATCGCCATCAGTTGAATGTTTTCGTTTTGCTGTTTTATTTGTTAAAACTTTCTGTATTAACTCATCTTCTTCAGCGCCGAGAATATTTTTTTCTAAATCAACATATTTTGCATATCTATAATAAAATTTAAAATATAACATAGAAAAAGACTCGGCATCAACAAAAATCTCATACTTTGCTAATTGGCCACGTGGCTTAGATAACTTTTCTAATTGTTCATCGATTTCTTTTTGTGTATCAATGATTTCACGTTCAATTTGTTCAATATTAAATGATTCTTCATATTGAGCAAGTTTTGTCATACGTTTAGCTTTAGAAAAAGCCGGTGGATCTTGTTCTTCTTCTAGTTCAATGGTATTGAATTCTTTCATATTTAATTGTGCTGTTGGTGTTGTTTCAAATTCTTGTAAACGTCTTATTATTGTTGCTTTTGATATTTTAACAACATCGACTATTTGTTGAATGGTACGATTGAAATTATGCATGCGCGCAGCAAATAATAATGCTGAACCGCAAAGACCTGATGAACGTCGACCAATATTAAGCCAATCGCGTTTCATACGTTGAACAATACGTAAAGCTGTATTCGATACAGCATTTGTTCGATCGCCAAAATCAAGTTTAGCTGCATAACGTGGTATAAGAAGTGAAGGATCTGTATGTGGAACATTAAGATGTAATGCATGTGCTATTCGTAAATAAATTCGTGCCAATACACTAATATCCGCATCGACATGATCACAGAAATCAAGTAAAATATGTTGAGTACCTTCTGTTCGACAAATAATATATAAACAAGAGGCAAGTAAATGACTAGATTTATTTCCACGAGATAATCCTTGATCAAGTGCCATTTTGTAAATCTTTTGAAATGAAAAAGGTCAGAAAGTTTATTTTAACTGTCAAAAACCGAAAGAATATTTTCTCTTCAAACTTACATTGAATGCTCTATCAATACATTGATGATTCATACGCATATTACTTGCTATGTCCGTTATACCACGACGAGCTTTATACAATGTTATTTGTCTTGATTCTCGAATAGTATGATTCATCATACCGCCGCCACTTGTACTGTAGGACTCATGATTTGATACATATTGTCCTACAACTTGTCGTCCGCCACCATTTGTCTCAATTATTTCAACGTCACCAGCAATCGTCATATCTTCAATAACGTCACCACATTGCATACATACAATACCTCGCACTGGATCGGTATCGATCTCAGTTCCACCACATTTACATGTCTTGCTCGACATGACTATTTCGTGGGTATGTAATCTAAAAGTGAATAGAGAAGAAAAAAACAATCGACCACATGATGAAATGTACGTCTATTAGGTGGATATGTTTGCGATTGTGCAATAACATTTTTCGCTTGCTGTCTTACTTTTATAAGGCGCAGGGCACGTCATACGTTCTTATTGGTAACATTTCTTTACTTTATTTTGTTTGTACAAAACAACAAAAAAAAAACAAAAAAAAAAGATAATTATTCATCATCATGAAACTTGTCTTGTGCATTATCTTCAATTTCTCTAGGTTCTTTTACATCAAAATCTTCGCCATATTGTATACTCAAATCGATTTCAACTAATAAATTTGTTATAGAATCTTCTTTACTCATGTCTAATGCAAAAAATTTCACTAGACTGTAATCATATATCACACTAGCTATAGCCTTATTCAATTGACTATAACGACCGAGAAATTTATTCGATAATTCACTGTTTGCCAATTGATATACATCAGGATCAGTAAATCTAAGAATAAACGAAAAAACGAAGAGTCAATACAATCGAATAGGATTTAAAATAATTACTTTTTCAATCGCTTTTTATCACGTTTTGACAAAACATCAACTTTCGATAGTACATGAATAAATGGTGTCTCAAGTTGAATCATTGATGATAATGCTGTAAGCATTCCACTGAGAAACTTCGATTGTTCAACACAAAATTGTGCATCAACAAGAAAAACACCACATATACGAAAATTCCAATTTTGTAATTGCTCAACAACACGACGCATCACTGGCACATGAGTATACAATTCAATTTGACCTAGAATTAATAGAGATAAGTAAAAACCATACGTAGAAACGAATTTCAATACCGGGACAATCGAATAAAAAATAATCATCTTCTTCATCACCCAACTGTTCATGTAACCAATCGAGATTCTTTTCGAAATATCTTTAAAAAAATCAAAAAAGAAAGAAAATTTATATATTATATTCAAATAAAACTCCATCAGTAGCATACTCCATACAGAAGATAAGACCGCCATTTGGACCAAATCGCAGTGCTTCATCATCCATTGCATCATCGATTTCAATTAACTCTCTAATATCTAAATAAAATTTCTTTACCATAAATTATAAGCATTTCAAAAGACATAATAGACTACCAGCGTATAGTGGATAATCAAAATGTTCAGCTGCTGGATCAAGATTTATTACATTTATCGTTCGCTTAATTACTTCGCCATGTTTAACCATCGAACTACAATATGTTGATTTACCTGAACCAGCTGGTCCCTATAAAATCTCATTCAATCAACATTGTCTTTAGATCACACTAGTTCAAACTCACTAGCACTAATTGTGCATATCGAGGCATCTAAGAGAATAATTTCAAAATCTTAAATAGAAAGTAGAAGTTTTTTTTTCAATTTACTAAACTATTTTGTTACGCCTAAAATAAAAAAAAGATTCTATAGACGTAGATATTACAAGACACACAAAATGACTATATATATATATATATGTATATGTATATAGATATATATCAGTGTTATACAATAGATAAAACAATCTCTGACAAGAAATGAGAAGATTATGTTGCACGGAGAAAAAGAAAACAAATAGATTTGATATCAAGCACCACATTGACAATATTAATATAAAAAAAAATTCCTGAGAAAGAAAGCGAAATATGAATATCTAACATTGAAAATCTTTTTTCATTAGATTGCCCAATTGATTGCGAACATCTTCGAGTACATCGGCAGGATTTGTATCGATTTCATCACTATCTATTGATTTTATGTCTTTGGTATAATTGTTTAATAATGGTCTATTTGGACTACGAAATGGAGATTTATCTAATAAAACAAAAACAAAAACAAAAATTGTATTTCGCACGAATGAATAAATAGAAGCAATTTACATTGAGATGTTACTGATACGTTTGTAGATTGTTGTTTATTAGTAGTTGTAGGCGGTGGTGGAATAATAGGTGGAGCTACAGGTATAGTAAAACTTCGTAAATTTGGTTTTGACAGAAGAAGTGAGCGTTGATTATCTGAATTTTCACTATTATTAGAATTAGATAGTTTATCATAAAGAGCAGCTCCTGTCATAGGATTTGATTGAATTGAGGATTGATTATGATTTGAACTACAATGACTGTTTGATGGTGAATGTTGATAGTCAGGTGATGATGGACCTTGATAGAAAATAAAAGTAAATTTATATGTAAGTTTTGCTTGTTTGACAATTAAAACAAATACCTGATCCAAACATATGTGACTGATCATTAGGTCGAACAACATATTGAGCTTTTTGTTGAATAGGTCGAACCGTTACATGTTGTTGCTGTTGTTGAACTAAATTTGAATGATTCATAATAAATGCAGTACCCATTGCTGAAGAAAAACAATTTATTATAAATTCTAACAAATTATATGAATATTGAAACATACGTAGATTTTTCATTGGTTTCTTTTGTGGTTGTTGCTCAAATGGTGAACCAACAGCAATAGGTCTTGTGCGCATACTTGAATTAAATTTTCCATTAATTGTAAAACCAGTTGTATTTCCATCGATTGAACTTGAACCGTCATTTGAAGGTACATATGAATGTCGTTGTTGATCATTGTTTAATTCAATATTATTTGTTAATGGCTGTGTTTCTTGTGCATGATGATATAGATGATGATGATGATGATTACATCTTTGTAATGTTCCACTACCAGCTGTCGATGATGTTTCATAATGTCTTTCAGATGTGTTTGAATTTCGAATGGTTGCTGTTGGTGGCGATAAACAGTCAGCGCCAGCCCACAAATCAGTTGGTTTTATCAATGATGATGATGCTGTATTACTTGTTGGAGAATATTGTCGTTGATGGCTATGTGTTGGCGAATCATGAATATGCTTTTTATTACTTGATAAACAAGAGCAACAAGCTGATCGTGAACATATTATAATAACAGTGAAGAAAAAACATAAAAATACAATACTAAATACGATTAAAATAAGAAGCAATGAACTATTTGATAAACCACCAATCGATAGCCATCCAAGTAATTTTTGATCTAAACAAATCAATAAATAATAGAGTTAATTTTTTTAAATAATTTAATCAACACAAGTTTTAGGTACACTAGACAAATAATCAAAAACTTTCTATTCATGGATCACACTATAGACGATGTATGACCTTTTTTTTATTATATTTTCGACTTGCGTTTCGATCTATAGATATGTCTAATGATCTTTACCAATACCTTAAAAGTATCAGTGGCAAAGAATACTTTTCTACTGAAATATTAAATTTCCAATAAACAGCTACTTGTCCTCGACATGTCAAATAAAAAGATCTATTGAGAAATTCAATAGCGTAATAAATGAACATTTTAATCGGATGACATTGTCAGAATAAATCAGGAATTAATAAATCTATCTATAAACAGAATTACAGACTCAAATTTCTTCTATTTGATTTTTCAGTAATCTTTTCAAAATGAATCGAACATTAAGAAAAAAAAAGTTATAAATTAGTTTTAGAGATATATGATCACAAATCCTTTCATAGTTTTCCTATCATTGATTGTAATTCTTTAAAAAAATATACGTCTTTCTAAATTATTATTCGAACTAGCTTGCTCATTTCGTAAACGAAACTAATCTATTCAATGTCTTATCGATTTCTCTGTTATTCTTTTTTCCTAGTAGCTTATGTCTCAATTTTTGTAAGCCATTTAGTAGAATATATAAAAATTAAAACAAAAACAAAAAAGCGTACTTGTATTTTTATTTTGTTCTATAGTATTCGTATCAATAGCTAAAAATGTAAATAAATTCCGATGAATTTTTATTAAAAAAACATAACATTTATATAAATTTTACCGTAAGGTGTTTTATATAATCTTATTTCTGGTGTTGATTCATCATTAAATTGATTAACAGAAACAATTTTGAATAAGTATTTTGTATTTGCTTTTAAATTTGAAATGGTTACTTGCATTATATCAACTGATACAGTTACTTTTTGTTCTTGTCCTTTTTCATCTTGTTCATTATAATAGATATGAAATGATTTAATACCGCTTGCATCATCAGGTAGTTGCCATGTCAATGTAACTTTTGATGGATCATTATTTGTTATCATATTCAATTGTTTTATTGGATAAATAAGATTTGAATATTCAATAGCCATTGAATAATCACTTTCAAGATCGCCATCAATTGTTCGAACAGCGAATTCATAATTAGTTAGTGGTTTTAAATTTTCAATTAAATAAGATTGTTCGTTGTTTGCTAATAATTCTTGTTGTTTGATGATGTGTTGATTCGCATTTAATTCATTGATTTGAATTTTATAACGTCGTGATGCTGGTAAACGAGCATGTTTCGGAAAATCCACATCAGTCCATTGAAGAAGAACAGATGTTTTTGAGCGTGGAATTAAAATTAACTCAAGTGGAGTTTTCGGTTGTTGACGATCATCATCTTAATGAAACGAAAGAATTATTATCATCATGAATCAATGGGACTTTATTTTCAACCAGTTTAACATAAGTATTGTGATATATTTACTTTATTCGCTATGTACAATTAGGATTAACAATCCACATCAATTTTCGTTAATGGATAAAAAAATGATGAACAGAAAAGGGGAGACGAAAGTGGGTATGTTTTCATCTTGAAATACGTCAGAATAACAATATGAAGATGTAAATAAAATGCCCAAATTTAGAGTAAGGAAATACTCATGAATATTAATTGCACTCAATTTTTTTCAGTAATAGTCGCGAAGGTCTGGCTATATGACTTAAACAATGAACTTGAACCACGGAAATTAACTTCAGGCTATTAGGGTGTCATCACGCGAACTATATGTACAGTTACGGAAGATGCAATAGATTGATTTTGTGAGTAAAACTGAAGAGAATCTGTTGAAATGAAATAAGAATTAGAAATATTTCGTTATGAAAGAATAATATTGATCTAATCAAACAAATCAACAAAAAATTAGAAAACATAATGTCAAGAAGCAAGTATCGGATGCAATAAATTACTAATGAGGATAGTGGTATTCATGTCCCGAGATAAAACTAGAAAATCATAATTCGAAGGTTAAATACTTTTTAGCATGATTATTTGTTTAAAGAAAAATTGTGTTTATGTTATGTGAGCCATCTATATATATGCATAGAATAAAGATGAGAATTAGAATTAATTTGCATGAAAGCAACTGTTAACACTAATCACTTCTTGAAGGTGAAATATTTTTCTAAATATGAGTTTTTGTCATGAATAAAAATTTATATGTTTTAAAAATTACCTTCTGATGGCATTTGAAAATCATAGAATTGTTCTGGTACAACGGTATCATTATTTTCATTGAGAGCAATTAATGAAAAAATATATTTTTGATTTGGTTCTAAAAACAAATACCAAGATATTTTATATTCTTTTGTTTCCTTAATAATAATCGATTATTTTCTATTTACTAAGGTTATCAACAAATACTGAAGTTTGATTTTTATTTATATAAATTGAATGATGATAAGGATAATTAATTCCGTATTGTAAACGAAAACGTTTTACAGTTCCATCATTGATTGTCATGGGGTGAAGTGTCATTACAATTGAATGGCTTGTCGCATTCATTTCAATTTGTGGTAAACGATCGCGAACAGACGGATCACTTCGGCTGGGCAAAACACGTCCATTTGTTGGCGATGCATTTGTATTCAATGTTGTTATTGCTAGGCAATAAATTAAAAATAATAATTTAACCGTCTCCATCCATACAATGATGGCTTTAATATCTGAAATGAAAGATATTTTAATAGAATGAAGGTTGTTATGTTTCATCACAAGCATAAAAAGAAACAAAAGAAAAGAGACAAGGCTAGTAACAACAATTTCTGGATTTTTTTGAACGTTATGGTCTTTAAAAAAAATCGACTATTGTTTATTCCTTTTCGGCAATACGAGTCAAATGTTGTTCTGTTTCACTTTCTGTCAGGACTCTAGAAATAGAAAGAAGAAAAAAAGGAATTATTTAGATATTCATTAATTGAAACGACAAAAGAAAAGAACAAACCGAAATTTAACATTATCCTTTGTAACAACACCAATTTCAATTTCACTTGGTTTTAAATCAGTTGAAAGTACACTAGCCAATGTTGAAACAGCCAACTAAAATTAAAAATTAACTATCAAATTTTGTTTCACATATTTCAATAGTTTTACTTCAATAGCTTCCTCGTAGGTCAAATCTGATTTTTTCTTGATACGTTTTTCTAAGAAATTATTGGCTTCTGTTTGTTTTACACCAGCACTTGTTGCACGAAATCCACAGAAGTATCCGGCTGGATCAGTTTTGTACAACATGGGACCCTTTTCTTCATCCATACCAAATAAAATCATGCCTATATATTTTAATTGAATACATTATATTTCAACAGAAAAAAAAAAGAAGAATTCTAATAATCTTACTGCATCCAAGTGGTCTCATTTCAGCTTCTTGTGTATAAACTTGCGAAATATCAGCTATACGACGGCAGATAGCATCGACTGGAATGCTGAAGCCAAATTTATATTTCCATGATGCTGCTTCATATCGAGCTCGTTGTACTTGCCAGCGGGAATCAGCTATATTATTTTGAAACAAAAAACAAACAATATTCAACAATGAACACTCAATTATGAATACATACCGACCATGCCAGTCATTAAGCATCCAATAGTTGGTGTAATGGCATGTAAATGTGTAACAGATGATGGATCGAGTAACTTATCCTAAAAGATTTCAGAAATTGAGTTTATTTTAATAGAATGAAGAAGTTTAGCATTTAAAAGCAATTGCTCGAGTTTCTTAAACCACTACATATTTATATTATTCTACTTTTTATTTACAACACAAATCTTCATGAAGAAATATCTCAACAAATAAGCTTTAAGAACATAGGATTAATTAGTTGAACAAATACATATGTGAAAAATAATTCAAAATCATATTGTCTACTTTAGTTTCTATCATTTCTACTTGAATATTGTTGCTACTGAAACTCAAAGAAGAGATGAACAAGACAGACTATTTTAATATGGTGGTAATCGAGACATTTTTTTCTCCAGCTGCTGCTATTTACCGCACGTATCGAATTCATATGAACCCACTCTCCACTAGATAAAAATGGTTGGGAAAATTTTTCTTTCTGTCATTCTCATCATTACAAAGAATTGAGTGCAATAAGAACAAAAAATCTCATGGGACAATATGAACTATTGAGTCCCATCGCGTGAGATTCAATAGAAAAAATTAGTCGCTCCATTTTATTTCATACGATTTCAGAAATATCCCATGACACATCAAATGTCTAACAAGTTATTTTTTTAATTTATTTTGAAAAGAATACTAACTGGAATCTTTTTTTGAGCAATGGCAACAACACAATCTGTACCACGAATAGCAACTGTTGTTAAGCCGCCTTGATTGATTGCTTTAAAAGCATATTCTATAAAATGAAAAAGATGAGTTTTTTTTTGTCTAGATCTAATAATTTAGAAGAAAAAAATGAAGACTTACCAACTTGATAAAGTCGACCTTCGGGTGAAAAAATAGTTATGTCACGATCGAACCCGGCTGATGCTGTCCGACTCATTTCGAGATAAACTTTAAGTTTTTTTCTTTAATCTAGAAATATATTTACATGTAGAAAAAAAACGAACAATAATCACTAGTAATTGTCTGTATCATCATAATTTACAACACGTCGTTTGCCTTCGTGAGAATTAGTATTTACAAATTTTGGTGTCGAAGACGGACTAACAAATGGAACTGATTGAAATGGATTCGTCTGATTTGATATTGATGATGACGGTGATGATGAATTAGGCGTTAAAGTCATTTTTTTAACCAAACGCTCTTGACCAGCATTAGTAGATGTTGCACGTTTAAATCCTTGGTCTTTACCTTGTGCTTGAACTTTAATAATACCACTTTGTACAAGTTTTTTTGCTGCCTCTTTGGCTTGCTCAGGATTTCGTATTGCATCTTTTTGATGATGCGATGAATCATGAGAGTTCGTTGAATTTGTTGTTAGTCCTCCAGTTGTACTAGCAAATCGTTTATTTGATGATTTATTATGTGCAATTTCTTTCATACGTTTTTTATATTCATTGAATTCTGATACACATGCTTCTTCAACTGTAGACAATGGTGATGGTAAAACGAACCGACAAAGAGTCGACATATTAGAAGATTCTATGATTGAGCAAGTAATTCGATAGACGACGGCCGCTTACTAACTTATATGTTAATTAACCAATAAACATTTCAATTGCCATTGTTCGAGTTGTTTTTTAGTCAAAAAGAATACTAAAGATGTCAGTAATAAAATAAAATAATAAAAGATTTTATGTTGCAATGAAAATTTCTTTTTTTTTATTTCTAATTTTCATGTTTTTCAAATTTTTTCAAGAAAATCAATGTATAAGCCACATTTCAATCATATCGTGATTGGCTAGAAAAAAAAGTTTGCGTGTTCATACTGGTATAATTCTGAATACGTTTGCCGCAGTTATTAATTGTTATAACTTTTGCGTCTTATTAGAGTTGAATATGAAGTTAGTTCGATTATTCTCATTTTTAACAATATTTGGTTTACTCTTTTTTACCACTAGAGGTAAAATAATATAAATCATGATGATTTGTTTTTTGAAAGTTAATATCGATTTCGTTTCTAGTTGTCTATGGTAATGAAGATCAAATCGATGCTGATGCCGAAGTAGATGAAGATGAACAAGAAACTGTTGTACGACCAGATGAAACAATAGCACCAGCAAATGATATACTTGTATGAGACAAATATAATCAAGAAGAGATATCAATGTAAATTCTTTTATTTTTTTAGGAAGGAAAAGAAGATGAGGATCCAAATCGTATTCCATCATCGCCTGATTTTCGTAGCGTTTATGTTTTTATTCAACCAGCAAAAGCGAATGGTTTGTTTTTCATATTGAGTATAAAAATGGAATAATTCAGTTCTTGATTTCTTTTAGAATTAGTTGCCGGTAAATTAACTCGTTTACTTGTCGGTGCACGTAATAATGGCACACAAAATTTTGTTGTTGAATCTATTGAGGGTTCATTACGTTATCCACAAGATTTCAGTTATTATATTCAAAATTTTACTTCATTACGAGCAGAAAAAGCTCTTGAACCAAGTTTAGAATCAACATTTGAATATTTATTTATGCCCAGTGAAACATTCAATGGGCGACCAATGGGCTTAGTTGTAGTAATCAATTATCGAAATAGCGTAAGATAGAAAATAGTTGTAGACTTTATATTATATTCTTTTTTTTTTAGGAAGGAAAACGTTTTCAAAATGTAGTTTTCAATCAAACTATTAATTTGACCGAAGCTGATGAAGGATTTGATGGAGAAACGTAAGAATTCATAAATAATGAGTTTTTATAGAACGATTAAAATTCATTTTTCAAATTTAGATTCTTCCTCTACATATTCCTTGGAGCAATATTAGTTTTATTAGGATTTGTTGCTTATCAATATTTACTTTCAAATCGTTTAAAACGAGTAACTGGTAAACCAAGTTCACAAAATCAGCTTGGCAATCAACAAGTTAAAGGTAGCTATGATGTTGATTGGATTCCAAAACATCATCTCACTCAGTGTAAGTAATACAACACAAACATGAGAATGTAAATGTAATTCGATATTGTATTTGCTTAGCTCGTTCACCAAAGAAAAATCCAAGTCAACGAAAATCTCGAAAAACAGCTAGTGATGCAAGCGAAGCAAGTGGAACAGGAGCTGCATCAAGTGAACTTGATGATTAAATATGTACGTCTATGTGCGTGCGTGTTTCTATGAAAAAGAAGAAACAAACATTTTGTTTTATTTCTATTTGTTTTTTTTTCGTGTTCGATTTCACTTAAATAAGAGATAAAAGAAAAGGACCAATGATCATACACTATTAGCAAATTTATACGATTGTTGTTTTTGTTATTCGTAAGAAAAGAAAAAAGATATATATATATATACATATACGAAGGGTGAAGAAATACTCGATAGTGGATTGTTTATTGTTTCGCTTTTTTGGTGTTATTATTGTTGTTTGTAGTCGTTGATTCTATTCAGTTTTACTCCTGTTCTCCACAAATAAACTATTTAAAAAAAACACAATATCATCGTACAAAAATAGCAAAGCCATATTTATTCTTTCTTTTTCTTTCTCTCAATATCTTATCAGCGAGGTAGTATGATTTAGTTTTTTTTTTTATAGCCAGGTGAGCCATGATGATAACAAACGCAATAAGCGTTTATCTATCTTTTTGTACCTAGATCTGAAATATATGGTTCCTTATCGATTTATTTTTAAAAGATAAATTGATTATGCGTAAGGTACGCATCAATGATAAATAATTCGACGACGGAGTAAGCTACTGTTTGTTAACTATTTTAGATGGCTTCCTTCGTTAATACTATTGTTGATATGCAAATCGATTCTTCAGCTAATAACACGAATCCAGCTGCAGTTATACCAAAATCGATGGTATTATTTGTTGATAACCAAAAGACTAATTTAAAACAGATAGCAAATAATTTTTTTACACGACATTTTGAAGTTCGAACAAGAGATCGTGAGAAAAAATTGAATGTTGTTCAACTTATGTCAGAGTATGATGGAAATTTCTCTACACCAGCTTGTTATCTGTAAGAAAATATTATATTGATAATATAATATTTGTTTATTATTTACTTTGAATATTAGCCGATTTTATCTGAACCGTGCAGCAAAATTTATTCGATATGCTGAAGAATTAGGACGGGTCGGTGGTTTATTATATGTTTCAAACGATTGTAGGATTTTATTTAAATATTTAGTTGAAGGATAATCAGGAAATTTATCGACTTAATTGTATAAGTATCTATAAAGGTTTTATTCAACGTTACTCAGATTTAATTGGATCAATTCAAAATCATGAAACTGCATGCGATAGTAAATTATTTTTTGTTTCAAGTTCTTTTTTTCCAGAATTATATGCATATATATATATAAATATTCAGGACGTTTATTTCGACGTTCCATCGAGCGAATGCAACATGAACTTGCTCATGTACCCCTCAATTTACATTTGCAACAGTTATTAGTTAGTTGCGGGGATGATCCTTCACAAAGTATGTAAAAGTGCAACGAAAATCTTATTTTTCTATATTGATTGACTATATTGTAGAATTTATGTATAATACGATTACATTGGGTGCACCTGCTGTGCATCATTCTCATTTTACTCATGGTGGTCTAGAACGAATCAAAACGAATGAACACGAACTCAATAAACATTTATCGTATTTACACGATAAATTACAAGATATTCTTATTTTCAACAGTGATATTGAGGATGAACTTGAATATTTATCACAAATAATGGCCAATCCATCAACAAATATAGATCATTCCATACTTAAATTATCTCTTCAAAGGGTTATTCGAGCTGTAAGTTTTATGATAATATCCCAATCTAATAAGAAAATGTGAATAGTAAGTTCGAACGACTGTAATGGAATGCTCGTATGGTATGTCTGTAGCCTAATTAGACCAGAGAAAAATTCGATTCTCTAGAAAAATGTAAACGAATACTTCATCGATTTATTTCTCTTATTCACAACAAATTCTGTATCATTTACTATTTCGTTTTAAACTGCGAAAGAAGTATCAGAATTGTTTCATTATAAAAATATAAAAAGTTAAAAATTTTCAAAGCTACGTTTCACAATATAGATCTTCTACTTGTAATATTATGCGGAACCAGAATCGACCATAGAAAACATACGTTTTCTTAATGTATTTACAAAGATTAAAAATGATCGTATTTATTTTTTAGACATAAGATCACTTTGTATTTTTATACAATTGAATCAGTTGCAATTTTTGAAAACTTCGAATTCAACTGATTTTAATAGATTCAGTTTTAAACTAAGTCGATCCTATCTCTAGTATTTTTAAATATATGCAATGTTAACTCTTAAGTTTTTCTTTTCGGGAAGACTCGTGCAAGTATCAAAAAAAGAAACAGAATTTGATGATTTGCTTTGTCTACATCGAAGTTTGTATTAAAACGCACTGATGTTGTTCTTTGTTTTAAATTTGAGATTCTATCGAAAAGCATTAGGTTGGCTATGATTATTTAGTATATTCAAGTGAATTATTAGTTCACACTGCGTAATAAACGAGTGGATCAATAAAATATGTTATTTCATTGGGTTCGTAAGTATTTTTTATTATTTTTAACTACTTGAATTTTTTCTGAAGTACTTTTATGTCTGTGAAATATGTTTATTACATAAAAAAGAAATATCGATTTCAACAATGGAACCAATCAATTAATTTTTTTCTAGGTCGACTCTTTACTCCAATATGCCAGCAAAGATCTTGACACTACAGATAGCTCAACAACAGAAATAGTTGTTCATCCATTGATACCAACAATATCTACTGAAGAAGTTTTGGCATCAAAAGTATGCCATTTGGACAGTATATTTTCTAGACAGCAACAATAATACTATCAAAACTACTTCTTTTTAACGTAGGATAAAATACACGAAAAAGCAAAAATATTTCTGGAAGAAACCAAAGAATCTCTGAATAATGATAAACAAATATTTGGAGTGGCACAGCTGAATAATTTACAATCAATTGCTAATGAACTAGAATCTCATACATGTAAGCATATAATGCGACATATATTTCAAGAAAGTATGGAAATCGAACGTTACTCTCAAAGTTATCGTGAACGTTTTGATATTGCCTTTTCTCAGACGGTAATTATATTAAATATACATATATATATTTTTTATTTATTTAATCTTGAAAACTATTTACTTTTTTAAACATCACACTTATTATTGTTTTCTTTTTTCTAGCTAACTTGCCTCATATTCTCTATTTCTGTTCTTCTGTCGTCGACTAACATAAGTGATCAAACATGGAACCTTTACATTAGCAATGGTGAGTGCACAGACGCGTGTGAGAAAAAAAAGCAACAGAATAGTGTATTAGATTATTCGTTAAATACATTTTGAAACAAAAATCACCCTTTTTCGTTCGCTTTGATTTGATCTTCGGCACTTCAGCTTTTTTTTCTTCTTTTTTTCTACTAACACACATTCGCACACAGACGTACAAACATGATTCCTGTATTACGCTCGATTGATGGTCTTCTCAATCGTTTTGATGAGCTCTCACAACGCCATGCTGGTTTTGTATCGCATTTTGAGACAAGTTTTACTGATATTGAAAATCCTTTACGTGACGTAACACGTGATGACGAAGAACGAAGAAAAACGTCTGAGAGTATATTAAATGCATCGATGGAAAATGATGATCAAATAGGATCATTCGGGACTATTGAGGATTTTAATCGGCGTATAACAAAAAGTCGATCACATAATCGACCACCAAGTTATTCGTCAAATGATACTAATTCACTTTTTAATCGTATTCCATCAAGAAGTTCTTTTGCAACTACAGAATCAGCTCCGCCCCTATATATATCAGCGTTGGCAACAAAACAAGTAACAGTCAAGCCAAGAAATGTCCAAACAATAGCATCTATTTCAAGTGAAAATCTTTTTGAGCCAAAGAATCGATTCACAACTAAGATTAAAACAAAACCTTTACCACAAAATCTACATAAAACAGATCAATATGGACGTCATGTGATTACAACATTTACCGTAGAAACTGTTAATCGACTTTCAAGACCGAGAACATATCATAAGTCACCTGATGAAAAAGTATCATCAAAACGTGCTCATCGACGAGCCAAAACACATCAAAATATAAAGAAAGAACCATCTGACGTATCTATGACACCAGTTCCCACAGTTCTGTCAGTGACATCAATTACATCATTTCCATTACCTCCAGCAATGGAATCGCCAAAAGTCAAACGAACACATCCCACAATAATAAAATCGCCATCGAAAAAGCTTAAAGCGGATAATAAAATTGCAACAGATAATTCGAAAAGAATTCCGATGAGCAATTATCCTCGGCCAACTATTGTTCTTGTACCTCCACCTACAATAAGCCTTACTTTTCCTATGCAACCCGAATTAAAATCATCTCGAGTTGTGGTTTTACCGAAAACAACAACTACACAGAAAACGATTAATATTTTTTCTAAAAAAGGATCTTCAATGCCATCAAAACGATTATTAAACTTAATGATGTCGTCTGCATTCTTTTCATAAATATTTGTTTATGAATAATAAAAATCAGTATGAACTTTAAAGATAATTAGATTTAATAATATAGAAATAGCAGAAGAAGAAAAGAATGATTGTGACGAAGCGTTTTATTTTCCTCTATTTTTTTGCATTTTTGTGTACTCAAAAAGTGAGTACACTAGATTCGGTCAGTGTGTCCACCCGGCCGTTAACATGATGACTTTTGAAAGCCTCATCCAATTGTCTTGAAATTTTGTACACAGAATGATCTCATCAATATCTCGGTCGAGTTCGAAGATGAGAGGGACCCGTCAAGAAATGGCTGAGTTATCAAAAAAATTGTCATTATTGATCATCCTATCTCTGAGGGNCAGGGATTTTTCAAAAGAAATTTTTTTTTCTCAAAATTATTCAAAACATATATAAATCGACTCAGTTTTTGCAATACACGTAACAATCGGATGCGAATCCGATGTTCCATCATTTATTTTTAATTTGATTCATCGCAGGAATGTTGATCTCGTTCGAATATCTTCTTACATGTGCTGGTGATGAGTTGGGTATGCTTGAAGATTCTGTTGAGGCAATTCATGCCCTAGAACATGTCCATGTACGCTTTGTACCTGCAACTATAAACAATAGTTTATTGCAACCTCGTTTTTTTGGTACACGATTTTATTGTAAGGTCGCGATACCCTTGCCTACTCATACGTTTGCTCGATTACCACAAGTTTTAAAAAATGGTGCTGTAATTCGTATTCTACCAATAGTATTCAATATTGGTATTGATCATCGAGCATTATTTGCACGAGCAAAGGAGTTAGTACTAGAGTGAAACAAAAGAATTTTAAAAAATTGAATAATTTTGTGTTTTTAAGGTTCAACTTTTTTAACGCACCACCAATTGAACAAAATCTCAATTGTAAAAGTCTAGCTAAACTCAAAGTCTACATTAATAAAAGTGTCGATAATTTACCAGGTATTTATTCTTTCTTCTTCTTTTCATACTTGAAAAAATGTAATAGTATGAGATTAGAAATGATGCACGAGTGTTTTCTTTTAAGACGACATACCTCATTTGATGGAGTTGCTTGAACATGCAATCAATTCAAACAAACCAAAAAATGTTGATATTTTTCCACTTGCTGAAAAAGTAAACTATTCATTTTGAAATGATTGATAATATTAATTATTTCGATTTAGATTTGCCGTAAAGTATATGGAATAAGAGTCACAGGTTGTAAAAGTGCTAAAGATCGCACATCAATGGGCTTTACATTAGAACAAGGTCAATTACTTGTAAATAATCATAATGTTGATCGACATGATCTGCAAGATATAATTAGTCGATTTCGACGTAATGGTACATCAATTGAGAATACACTTATTAATACAGGTGTTAAAGCGTACGCTTTTTCAACTATTCAATTAGTTACATTTCCAGAATATTATCGTGCTCCACCGGGCACTTACGGGAATACTGAAACATAATTTCAGTCAATTAAAAGTAACTGTAATTGTAAATTCTTTTTATTTTTTAGTTGAAAATATAATATGTAGTCTGCATTTAACAGTGATATGCTTCTTTTATTTATTTTTTAAATAAAAAAAATAATTTAACCATTCATTGCATGTAGTGTAGTACTTTATTGAAAACTCTGTTGTTTTATTTTACATTCTGGATGCATGAAATAAATTACCAACGACAACGAATATCAATCATGATTGGTACGCAAATGTCATAATAAGCAAAGCGTATACGATAATGAATAATATCAATAACTAGAAATCAAATTGAATCAAGAGCGATTCTGTTCGCTAAGAACTTTAGTTTGTTTGAATGTAATTATAATTTTTACGTAAATCCATACTCTAAACATGATTATAAATCATCATTATTCAAAGTCACTTGAAGATTTGCATCTTGATTTAAAAGAACTTCTGTTTAAAACGTAGATAAGCTGTTGATAGAAATTATAAATTACTTTTAATGGCAACGTTTTATTAATTATCTTTTTACAAAATGAACAACTTTCTATCGATGATAATGTCTGCACACATGTAGTTTATTCGCTGGTGTACTCATTAGCGTATCACAATGCCTAGTTTTTAATTCAAAAATATCTAGAGAATCTACTATCATATAATATACTGTAACAAAAATGTGTGTGAATTAAAAATCTAGTATTACAACTAAATATTTCTACTTGTAATTGGATCTTTTTAAGTGAAAGTAATAGTGTGCGCACCGCTACTTATGATATGCTGTACAAAAATGATATTGACCATCATTAAGCATTTTTTTCTGAGCTCATATTAGAATACAACATGCATCTCACATTGCTGATGTAAAGATCGTCTTATTAAAGTCTATTAGAGACTATAGTCAACTATATACTAAAAGATGATGGATGTTTTTCTTAAGGATTGAATTCTATTGAATTACCCTTACTGGACTGAAAACAATTTCTGGTCAAACAAAATATTTGAAAGATGCTTCAAGTAAAAGAAAATCTTCCCATAAAATGGAACGTAAATTGGAATGTAGTGGACAACACTGATCCAAAAATTCTTTTGGTTCTCTTCTTTGAAACATGATTTTAATGTTTACTCTTCTTATATCTAAAGACCTTCATTGATTTAACATAAGAAAAAGACTCAACTCAAACGAAACTTTAATGCGCCTTTCATTTGGCAATAATTCTCAGCACTTAAATATTCTTCTGACCGCAACAACTCTCTAGCTCAATATTAAAACATGTCGTACATTTTATGAATAATTTTAAGATGGCTTATTTAGAAACACTAGTCGAACGAAAGTTTACCATTTGAATTATTGTTTTTATTTGTAAATAGCCACTAACATAAGCAGCGATGACGCAGATAAATCAATAAGTTTAGAAGTTCATTTTTTGTCAAAATTTAGTACTAGTCGCTCTTTGTCTTCGTTTAGTGGTTGACATTCGAATAGTGAAACAGCTGCTAGCCTTCGAGACATGTTGTGCTTCAAAATGCTACTTGAAGCTATTTGAGTTGCAAAAGATGCCAATCGCATTCAATAGATGAAGAAAACAGCTAAAAATAGCATGTACTATTTTAATTAAGTACTAGGTCTCTGTATAGCATCAGGATAACAAATGAAAACGAAAAAGTGTAACAAAGAGTGAAATGTTCGTATACAACATGAAACATAGAAGTGAAGCGAGAGATACCAGTAACCACATTCTCTGTTTAGCATTGCGAGAAAATCAATTCGATCACAGTTAATATTATAGTTATTCCCATTCCTACACATGCAAATACAAGTAAAGTCACGTTGGATAAGCCACGGATGAAATCCTATGCAACAGACTTCACAGATTTTGAATTCTAGTAGCAGTCGTAAGTGTTGCTAATCTATGATAAAATATACAGACATTAACAATTTAAAAAAAAATTCACATAAGCCAAAGTTCAAGAGCATTGTCTTTTTCATAGCATAGCTATTTTGAACATCTTATAAATGATGTTAAACTCTTAACCTTCGGACTACTGAAGTGAAAAGATAGTAGATCATAGCCCGTTTCCAATAAAAGTTCGTCAAAGTGTAAAACAAACCTGTGCATACTCGAATAACGTTTTGTCCATTAAAAATGTGTAACTCAGCACATAATGTGAAATATGGAGTAAGAAACAGAGTTTAAAACATTTACACGAATCGAAACCATATCACTATAATGCGATAGATTGCTATTTAATCTTTATCTATCCGATGATATCAGAAATCGTGTACTAAAGATTAACTGCACGAGTAAAGCAATATTCACACTGGTATCGAAGGATGTAAAATGAAAAAATTGTATTTATATGAGAATTATTTCATTCTCTCTAGTACATAGTTTAGTCGTAGGAGCACATTTTTACGTGATTGAACTCTTTCTTGTCAAAATATAAGGACATTTTTCACACCTTTTTTACCAAATACATGAAATCATATATCGGATGACACAAATTTTTTATCTTAGATATCAGCTTTATGCGGTACGGCTAACAGATGATAGAGATGTATTCGGTTCAGTTACCAAGGCGAGTGCATACCTAAGTCAAATAACTTAGCTCGAACACAATAGATTAGTAGTTTTCATTGACTTTATCTCTGCATTATCGATTAGAATCATGAACATTTTTACAAACTAAACTGTTGAATAAATTTTAAAAACAATTTCACATATGAAATAGTATGTATATTTTGGTTATCTATCAATAAAATTTCTCTAAATAGCTCCTATAGATAGTGATCAATTCTAGTTTACACAATCAACTTCATACGTCATTGATTCAATTAAAAATTTGTTTTAATAATCTAGAAATCTGACTCAAAAAGTAACAGTACCAGTAATTATAATACTACATGCCATAATGGAAACAATTTTCCATTATATTTTGGTCTTTAGATCCATATATTCTTTTTCTTTGAAAAATCTGACTAATGATTTTCTTGATATGGACATTTGATGAAAACTTTTCTTAAGTACTATGTGAATTATTCGGTACAGAATTTTTTGCTGATTCTAAATATTATGTTGACTTCACTAAAAAACTGAAATTTTAATGATCGAAATCCCCGTTGATGTGGTATTCGTGGTGTTTTTATATCATGATCAAATTTGATCAGTCGTTGGCTATAATGCTAGATAATTGTGTAAATGAAAGTCTTTTTCCCTATCAAAACCCACGTCCAGTAACCGTCATCCATCCATCCATCCTATGTCTCAGTTTTACTCGATAAAAATGGTAGTCTTGTTGCAAAACAAAATAAGGAGGCTCCTCTCTAAGTATATCTCTATTTATATGAAGGCCACGTAGACTTGAGCCAACAGACGTTGAAATGACACTTGTAATTTTGGTGCCTTTGAAAATTGGATAGTTAACCACAAACCACTCAGAATAGTAGCTTTAATCTGTACAGGACGTTGTACAGCTTTGAGAGTGATTGCAACTGTTACCAAAACAGTGGTCAGAACAAGACTTACATGCGTTAACAGTATAGTTAGAATCCAGTAGAAAACACATTGTTTTGCTGTCATATATAGATGGAGTATTTGCGTCCCATACGTACAACCAAATGCCAACTCCTAGTAATATGCCAAAAACCGAAATTGCAAAAGGTGACAGTCAATAACAAAGCGGTACCCTCATAGAGGGTTGAATAATCTGATTGATATGTTTCGGAAAAAAAGATTCAAACCTGGAATCATCAAAAATTAATATTAATATCCTCATGGAAGTCTATCTATCGAAAGCATAATAGTTATTTATTTTGCACTACTGCAGAATCTAGGCAATAGAAAAGCTGTTGTTGATCTGAATCTTTTTAGAATGAACTTAATCACTAGCTAAACAACAAGACTAACTATATTATAATTCTTGCTATTGTCCAAGCAGACAAACATTTGGAATAACGCGTTTAAACATTCAATCGGAAGCCGTGATTGTGAGTGATTAACACTCATTATGCAAACACAAGAAACGCATGTTTTTCTCAGAATTTTCACTTTCAGAGCGCAAAACCAGCTATAAACTACAGCTATGAGCGTCTACACATATTGCTGTTATAATTATAGAATAATTTTGCCCTTAAACGCCCATAACTATAGTTTATAGCTGGTTTTGCGCTCTGAAAGTAAAAATTCTGAGAAAAACATGCGTTTCTTGCGTTTGCATAATGAGTGTTAATGACTCACAATCGCGGCTTCCGATTAAATGTTTAAACGCGTTATTCCAAATGTTTGTCTGCGTGGGTGACGAGTAATTATCGAATATAATCTATTTTGTATCCATCGGTAACATCTAAAGATAAATGATAAATGATAAAGATAATTTTTCTGATCCTGAAAATCTATTAAAATCTAGCATGTCAAATTCAGATACTCACATAATGTACAATAAAACTTAGTTAAAAGAAATTCTGTAGCCTTTGAAATGAAGGCGCAAGCATAATTCACAAAAATCGCTCTATACTATTCATATAAGCAAAAGATTTCGTACAGAAAAGGATTTTATCTGGTTGGTCCTGAAAAGTCTACTAAAAATATGTATACGCATAGAATTTATCAGTTATAGTAAGTTAATCTCATTGACTTGCCTAGAAAATACTCATGAAATTCGTTTACAACATTTTTTACTGAATGTTTCAGATAGAACTGTAATATTCTAAATGAAATAAATCGTTGAATTTATATGAATTTCTCTATAGATAGTTTATTACTTAACCACAAAGCAACTCTGATAACACAGCAATCAGAAATCAATCGATAAATAGTTTTGTATACAATAATCTCTTTCTCAGTTGGTCATTAAATAACTTCTATTAAACCAACTACAAGGTACAATTTATCAAATGATACGACCTTCGTATGCTTCCTTTCGCTTTACACTTATAGGAAAGGAGAAAGCAATTTCAAGTAGTCAAGCATTCTTGTCAACAACAACAACAACAACAACAACAACAAACAGGCACTCATGTTATGATAGAACCTCAAAATACACTTCCTCTTTTCAATGCCTCTCAACTGTCTTACTGATCAAAATCATGCGCTCAATTGACACATTTGAGCATACTTTGATGTAACATTGCGGTGAAGTTCCGTTATTTTTTTCTTTGAATAAATAATTTTAATTGCATAGGCGTTTGGAATCATGCCAAATTTTCTTCAGCTGTACATGTCATAGCTTATCACTAATTTTCCTATCATCCCAAGAAAGAGAATTCATTATTTTTCCTTATAATTTGTCATGTCAAATTTGCTGGCTGTTTACTTTCTCTTCCTAAAGATAGAACAGAAATCGGTAAAATGATTTCTTTCTTTCATTCTGTCCGACTACAATAGTTTTTTTTGCAGATGAAGAATATGTTTTTTAAGACAAATGTAATATTATTAAAAACTTGTAACGAGTCATTTGTTTGACTAATGCCATTAAAAAACATCGTAATTTTTATTTTCATTTTCTCATTGATATTTTTATCTTATCAAAACTAGCTCAATCAAAATATCATGGTTAGCACTGGTGTATAGCAAGAAATTTCTATTCTATTCCATTTCGGTAACTCTATATATGGTGTTATTCAAAAAATAACATTAGTACTGAACTACCAAGATATTATCATTAAGAAATACTGATTTAACTTTTGCTATTCAGGATTATTGAAAATATTTTTGCAGTTTTTCAAATTAAAAACAATCGCCGGGTGATTGTGAAAAGAAATGTCGCATTTGTCGATTGCTTCATGATTTATTTTTCTACTCACGTGAAGACACATGTGTAAATAGACTTTTTGGGGGCGCAATATATTTGCTTTTGAAGTAGAGAAAAAAAGTATCCCGCAAATCAGTGTACATTTGTTTGCTTTCTTCGTATGAATTATCCAAAGCTCGCAAAGCTTTATGTCATGTTATTAGCTTTTGATTTGACTTCATCGACTGATAGGACGATTTTTCAATCTTTATTTCTCACATGCATTGATTAGAAATTGGTCAAGAACTGTAGATAAGATATTTTTGAATTTTCAATTCTTTTTCGATTCTAAAAACTACTGAAATATCTCAACAATTTAATAGATGAACTAAATTGTTTAGTAATATTTATCGTTCTACTATTTCTAATATTTTATTTTTATTTTACCATTCGAATTAATCATAGTTTATGATTATATGTATGACTGAGTGTCCAATGAAGATTCTTGATTCACTTAATTCTCATACTTTAATTCTATAACGGTAATTATAAAATATTGCGGATGTCAATTACAAGAGTAGGATCAATTTCTCGATATATTACTGATGCTGAAAATTATTAATTATAGAATAGCTCGATCCAATTGTGCTCAGACAAATTGCAAGAATAAGGTTTCCAATCAAATTTTATTGTCTATTCACGATCGAACGGGTTCATTCTAATAGCAGTAAATGTGTCTGGACAGTTATTCCTAAAATAAATTGAATTCTTATTTTTCCCTCGAGAAAATTCATTGAGAGCATCTTAATGCTATTGCTATTCAATTAAAAATGACACACGCTCAATTATATTGTGCATCTGTATATTTTTTTTTCTTCAGGATAATAAACATACAATATGATCTCTTGAGAAAAGAAAACATGACACATTAGATTTATTATTGCACTAACCAAAGAAAAACAAAACTGTACAACATTGAGAAACAAAAGAAAAGAAAAGAAGGAGGAGAAATCTATTACAGTATTTCATCTTCAAATGAATGACTCATTTTAACATATGTTGTCGATGATGAACTTGATAAAGATGAAGATTTATTCGTTGGAATTCGATCAGCGAATGTTGTTAAACGAGTTGAATCATTCGTAGTCGTTGTTGATATCGATACTGTTGTCATAGCCGTAAATTGAGGCGATGGAGATGACAATAGTAATGTGTCATTTTCAGCATCTTCATTTAATGATGATGAAAAAGATGGTGTTAAATTTGTTGTTGTCTTATTATTCAAAGATCTTCTTCTTCTTGAACGTCGTTGTAGAAAATAATAAAAACAACAAATAAGAAGAATAACTATTGTAGAACATAGTAGACTAATAAGTATAATGGAAATAAAGTAAATAAATGTTCTTTGGTCAAGTTGAATTGAAGATATTATTGAATAATTTTGACATTCAGATTCATCAGAAACAATAAGAAGAATAAACTTCTTATAGATTGAAGATAATACTTTTGATTTTCCTTGATCGTGTAAATAAATGTCAAATTGATATTCTTGAAATAAAGGCGGAACTATTAGAGTTCCATTTGAAAGGAGTGTTATTTCCATTGATGATGGATTAACCAAAGAAAATGATACGTTTCCATTATCATCTTCATCAGGATCATAGCTTTCTAAGTCTATTCGAATATTTTCATTACTATTTGTTTTATTATATATGTAACAATAAGGCGATCGACTTATCATTGTTGGTTTATTATCATTTTGATCAAGAACTAAAATTTCAATAGATATTAAATCAGTATGTAATGAATCATTTGCAATAATACGAAATTTAAGTTTATTTATTTTTTCTCGATTAAAACTTATTTTTGTATACAAATCTCCATTAGATTTTAATTCAATAAAATTTTTTGTTTGATTTAAATCTTCTGAATGTATTTTATAAATAATTTCATCATTTTCATCTTCATCTTCAGCTTGAATATGACCGAGAAATGTATGATTATTTTGATTTTCCTCTAATTGAAATTGAGTAAATTTTTTTGAAAATTGAACTGGATTATCATTTAAATCATTTAAATGAATTACTATGGGCACAAATGTTTTATGTCCCATTGCGTCTTCAGCAAGAATAGAAAATTCATATGATGATTGTTTTTCATAATCAAGACGTTTTAAAATAATTAATTGATTTTTTTCATTCAATTGAAAAATATTATTATAGTCTTGTTTATTATTAAATTTAAGTTTCAGTGTAAGATGATCATCTTCATCAGGATCATATATTTCTACTGTATGAAGAATCAAATTTTCTTCATTATTTTCATCAATATAAAATGAATAATTTGTTGAATTTTCAAAAATCGGTGAACAATCATTAACATCAATTAACTGTAATTCAAATTGACTTTCTATTGAACGTTGCGGATGACCATGATCATATGTAAGTAATGTAAATGAATGAAATGAATTTTGTTCACGGTCAAGAAGTATCTTTGTCTTTATAACATATGTATTATCAGTTACTTGTTCTAATTGTACAGGCGAAGTTGTATCAAATGATGAGATTAATTTCATTGCTACACGTCCATTTTCATTACTATCACAATCAGAAACTGTCACATATAGAATTGGTGTACCCAGAGAAATATTTTCTAAGATATATATTATTGAATTGTTTATAAGTTGAACATCAGCTGGTGAGAATGTAAAAATTTCCGGTGTACAATCATTTTCATCAATAACCTAGAAAGTTAATAGGATCCATTAGAATTAAGTTATTTAAAAAGATTTTACTTGTATAATAAGTGTTGCGTACGTTGGAATAGCATTAGATCCGGAATCTTTTGCTTGTATTTGTAATTCATAATTATTTCTTTCTTCATAATCTAACTGTTTTAATAAAGTAATTGAACCATTTAGAGGATTTAGATTAAATATTTTAATAATTGTTGCATCATTTTGTGTCCACTTTGAAAATGTATATCTGATTTGTCCGTTAAGACCTTCATCTGGATCAAAAGCTTTCATTTGAATAAGTTCTGTATCAATAGGACTTAGTTCAGATACTTTAATAATTAATGGTGAGTGTTGATCCTGTTGAAATTTCGGTGAATTATCATTAATATCAGTAATCGTTAAGACAACTGTTGTACAACAAGAACGTTTTTGATTTTCAATGCCTTCATAAGCACAAAAATTAAAATAATATTTATCACATGATTCTCGATCTAATTCTTTCATAATAATCATCGATGGTGAAAATTGATTATCAAGACGAAATTCAGAATAATTATTTGGTACTATTAAATACGATTGAACATTATTTGGTGTTTGATCTGGATCATGTGCTATAGGTAAAACAAGTCGAGTATTGATAGGCACATTTTCACTTATATTTAAATAATAAATATCATTTGAAAAAAAACAAAAATTATCATTTTCATCAATAATAATGATTGGTACATAGATTATATGTGTATATGTATCGCTAAGTGCATTAATTTCAAGTTTAAGTAGACATTCATTTGAACATGAACATATACCCAAACGACAAAGATCTTCACGATCGAGTCGACGTTTCACTGTTATTGTACCTTTAAGATCATCTAAGAGAAAATAAGATATAACTGATGTTCGAGTTAAAAATGTAAATTCCCAATTGGATGATGGTAAAACATTGATCAATTGAGTTATTGATGTGCCAATTGGAGATAATTCACTGCAATTGACAGGTGGTAGACGTATATAACGTGATTGACTAAGAGAAATAAAACTAATAAATAAATTGACTATTAACCATAGCCACGGGCAGGACATAGCAGCATGGTTATGACATCAAAATTAAACAAATAATATACTCTAAAACATCAATAAAAAATAAATAAAGAAGTTAATGAAATATTGTTGTCCTAAAGTCGGATCAATATTATCTTTTTTGACCATCTTCTCTCTCTCTCTCTTTCCATCATATAAGTACATACAGACATACGCTCACGAATGGTTATCAAATTAACTGATACTGTTCTTCGTCTCTCGTTTCTCTCTTATTGTCTGATTTTACCATTATTATCATCATAACGTATGGTACCAGCAGCTTGAACATGTCTGTTTATTTTTTAAATGTGTTCTTCTGCATTTTCCGCCTTTCTTTCTCGTTTGAACTTAAGCCGCTAATTGACGAGATAGATGACCATTGACTGATTTCGTATGTTTTCTATGATTTCTTTTCCACCAATCTCAAATATCGCTTGTATCATGAAGTAAAAAGAAACAGGAGAACGTCGGTACGTTTTAAAAAAAATTCATTAATATTGCAGCTGACACGCTGCAACAGATTTTTGACCTTTAAAGTCTTAAAGCGACTTTCAATGATAGTTTTTACCTTGATGATGAACTTTTAATAACATACATGTCTCTGTCCGATTCATCTGGCATTTATCCCGCAATAATTCGAGCGTGGTACTTACATAAGTCAATAGTCCCCATTTATATCTACTGTGGGAACTATGTTAGATGAGAAATTTGTTGCTTCATGTTTTATAGTTCTGATTACATAGAGAGATGCATAGAGTTGTATAAGATGATTTTTTTTAATGATTTATATGAATAAAAGAAGAAGAAAAACGAAGATGAATATCTTGAGATCATAATCAAGTCTATGCACGTTAAACGGAAACAAGGCACGAACTATGACGGATATTTAAATTTGACATAAAGAATAATAGGAGTAAGAATGAACAACAAGAGAAAAAGCGGATGCAAAACGAAATCACTCGTAAAAAGAGCGTTGATTGCACGTGGCAGCGTATATTACTCGAGTGTGTAATTGTGAGTAGAAGAAAAAAAAAGAGAGCGGGAGAGCAAAAAGGAGGAGGTAACTAGAGCAAAGAAAACGAGAGGGTCTAATGCGCACGCGACATATACAGAAGAAAAATGATCGAATGTCTTGCGTTCAATAATTGATTTACACAATGTGGGAATCGTGATCGCGCCTAAGAACACTATTGCACTAACTCGGTAGACGTGGGCCGGAAAAGACAGCCATCTCGTCTTCATATTATGCTGTCGTAACATTTGAGATTTGTTTGCTATTCATTTGTCCACTCATTCATTCATTCATTCATTCATTCATTCATTCACTCATTTACTTCAAATCGACAAGGACATGGGTCCGAGAATCAAAAGCTGCTTTGTGCATTCTCAATTTTCCAGTTTTATTTTTCTCCTTCTCTAATCGATACCTTGTAATCATAGTGTTTAAAAAGCTACTGTCATCCGAGAATTTTCTTCATTTAATATCACACTTCCATAAATAGAAGCACTTAACACAGAAAACGGGTTGATGAAAAAGTGTTCCTTTGCTAATCGAAAAGACTGAAGACACACTCATGTTGTGAAAGAAAATAGGAGTAGCTAAATGCGTACGATAAAATAAATATATTGCTTAAACAAATGAGGCCCAATGGGATATTTTGTCTTGTGTCTCAACATTTAATACTAGAGGAAATAAAAATGGCATCTGTTTTTTTCCTGTTTTGACGATGATCAACAAAAATACGATTTACATCAAGTCTAAAATAGTAATCATGATGTAAATTTTCTAACACACACTCCATACTTACACATATCCTGTTTGATCAGATAATCATCCGAGCCGATTTCTTTCTAGTTGCATGACTCGATACGTTCTTTTTGTTCGTGCTTCTGTGGGCACGTCAAGCTGACATTCGTCCGTTGAATTAATCAAGTATCTATCTACACTTAAAATGATCTACGTATGACTAACCTTGCTTTTCGCTGCCATATCGACCTTTTAAATTGACCCCTGAAGAGAAATAATGATGACAATTTAAACCGAAGGCCATTTGCAAGGAAAAAAATAATCCCTCTTCACCGTCATCGAGATAGACCGATAAGAAGTATGCATATACGGTCTATTTGTCCGCTATTAGCTTTCCACTTTGCATTCACTTACCAATGTTGTAGTCGTTGTCATTCGTCATCTGAACGATTAGACCTACAAACATACAAATGCATACCAATATACGAGTAAACAAAGTTTAGTTCGTCAAGTGTTGGTCTGTCGCTGTTCATTCAACACGTATTCTCATCTTTCTATTTTTATTTCTATTATTAATCTTCTCAAAAAGAAAAAAGACATCCAACTGTGTAGCATAAGAGAAGTGTTCGTAACAAATGATGTATCATCTTAATGGTACTCTTCGATCAGATAGAACATACAGACAGACAGACAGACAGACATAGAGGACGACGGATGAATCGATTCGTATGATTACATTCAAATCAATTGAATTGAAAAGGATTCATCGGCTACTCCTCCTTTCACGGTGTATATGTCTTCCTATGATACGTATGAACATCAACAGTAGTAATAGTGACGAAAGAAAAAGAAACAATAATAATACCAGACAAGGAACAAGCAACAGAGAAAAAGAACAGATTGATGTCTATCATCATTTTTTGCCAATTTTTCTTTGCTCTCTGTCTTTCTTTCCTTAAGCGTGAAGCATAAAAGAGAAAAAAAAGAATGGTCACTATATGTTTTGAAACATGTAGACGTTTTGTCTACAATTGAACAAGTCAATAATGACTCTCTTAACTTCAGCTGCCGCTCAACTGAGCGAACAAGTACGTTAAAGTGAGATAGGGAACCTCGAAGATAAAGTAGTCAAAATCAACTCTCAATCTTCTACTGATACCAAACACATGAACCCTCAAGAAATAAAAATAAATTACATTTCTTCTTCTCTTTCTTGTTCACCTTCTATCCAGAACACCAGAAACAGATTGACAAGCAGACGTTTTATGTACACATGTACGTATATGAAACAGTCCACTTTTCAGAAAGCGACTAGTCACTCGTATGCATAAATCCAGATTTTATCACGATCAATGGTCGGTAACCATTTTATCACAAACACAGACAAGAGAACATATTAACTATTGACCTCATTGTCACTCATCGTTTTCTTTTTTCTTTTTTGATGTACCGATAAAAATGACACGTTTGTCAATATCTCTTCATTTACACGCTATGCTATTACATCATCATCATCATCGTTGTCGTCATAATCATCGACAACGTTTAAGTGATGGAAATAGCCAGTTGTCTTCATATTTTATATTTTATATTTACCGTTTCTTTTTTGTTCTAACGATAATTCCGGCGTTAATGCGATCAAGATAAGATAGCGCATACATTACGCATTTTTCACCTTTACTTTTTTCTACTCTAATGTCCATTTCCGTTGTCCAAGTGGTTGGTTAAGACTCATATAAGCCCATGAGGCGCCGGTCACTTTACTCATTGATGCGAATAGCACGTCTTCCGTACTCAATCACATTTACTTTCTCCCTTTTTTTCTTCTTACAGGCGTTATTTAAAATAAAAAATGACTATGATAATGATAGTGATGATGTTCAAAATGGCGGTGATGGGCACGATTAGACTTCTTGCCTATTAATTTTCACATACAACACCCACTTGCATACACACCTGTATCAAGGGACATCAAAGTAGAAAGGAAAAAAAAGTGAATCTTCTCGGTGTCATTTACTTGTAGTCTATTAGAGTGTGACGTAAGATGTAAGAAAAAGATAATAAAGAGAGATATCAGAAAACCTGAAAATGGAACTGAATTGTGTAACATCTTGTTGCTATATGATGTTCATCTGAGCTGTATGTATGTGCGTAGTCAAGCCTTGCGGGCAGCTTTTTTTTTTAATACAGATTGTAATTAGATCGTCGTCTGTCGATAAGTGAATCATTTCGATTTCCAATCGATGCACGTGTTACTTTTATTACAAGCTCTCATGTTTAATTCATTCAAAACGAGTTGGGTGGAGCATTAAATCAACCAACTGGACATAAGACATATGTAAAACATCTCAATTAGATAGGCACCAGCAGCAGCAGTAGTAGCATACGATGGTCAATTTATTTTAACGATTGAATTAGATTTTTCTACGCGGACAAATGATATACACACATGTCACATCTCTCGTTTTACAACAACAGTGCATAACTGAAGAATAGAGCGTCTAGCATTCGAGTGTGACTATAGAAAAAGTATGAGCATACGCGTGCCTGTCTATGTGGAGAAGAGTAGATAAAGTCATAAAAGAAAACAAGACACAAATGTCTATATTTTTTTCTAGCCAAACTTTGTGACAAACATAATGATAAAAGTTTAGTTGGAATCTAGTATAATTAACGATCACGAAATAGGCGTACCGTTGGGGACGACACAGAACATAAGTATACAATCTATTTGCCATTGTATGACCGAAGGACATAACACAGACGTCATTATGGTTAAATTGTGTCACACCTATTCTCGTTTAGTAACATGAAATTTATGGGTATTTCGTCACACACAGTAGGAAATTATGATGAAGACCATCATTATCATCATCATCATCATCATCATTGATTGCATTCTTTTATTATTTTGAAGATGACATCATCACTCCGTTTATATAACTTCATAAACTAACTGGACATATAATAATTGAAGACTAATAAATAAATGGAGAACTATTCAAACCATTTCCGATTTTTTTTATATATTTTCCGGTATATAACCTTGTATAACGTATGCCAAAACTCTTCATGGATTTTAAACAAGCGGTCAAGGTGATCATACAAAAAAAATCTACGATAAGAAACTCTACCTATAAAAGAATCATATGAAACTCATAATGTAGATGAATTAGTAATTCTCCTTTACAATATGCTCTTATAGTTTCACAAGTATTTAATGGATTTAATAGGCGTAAATGATACAAATGAAAAGTGCATTTTCTTAGAAAACAATATGATGAAAACGTACGGCTATTAATTATTTTCAATGTTTTTATTCTTTGAAGTAAAAATGAATTTCCTGCTTATTGATACTACAAAAAAAAATATGGAACTTATTTTATTCTTCATGAAAGTATGCTGCAATATTTCAATTGAAAGTTTTGTCCTGGGTTCATTATCCTTAATAAGGAAAGTATTTAGAGCAAATAAGAAATGTTTATATATGAATATAATATATGAGTAGCGTTTCTCGTATTACTCATTTACTTTGTTACACATAGCCATGCTAAATGATATTGATCTCCGACGGATTCATTATAGAATGTAAGATGAGATAATAGGAATTGACAAATATGGGAAAAAACAAGAGGAATTTCGTATCTGTTTATGACATTTGGGAATAAGTAAATATGAATTCACTATTAATAACTATGATGAACGATAGAAAAACTGTTAGATGCCATTAGATAATAAAATATAATTAATGAATTTATTTTGTCAATCAAATATATATGATATATGTTTATTATTTTTCTTGTTCCGTTTCTTAATTTATTTTCAATCATCTATTATATCAATATGCTGTTTTTTACATCATATATATATATATATATATTGTTGACAATGCTACAGGCGTATTCTAATGCATCAGACAACCGAATCCATAGATATTGATGAATTTAAGTGATAGTCTAAATTCATCTAATAACTGTTCTGTTTTGATAATCATAAAAACTCATCATGAGAAGTATTCTTGACTTGTTTTTCTAAATATCCAAGTGATGTGAAAACGTGTTTTTAGTGAATACATTAAGAAATACCAAATTTGTCATGTCGATGTACGTGTTCTACTACAAATATAGTTGATTATTAGTTGCTATCTATATATCATATCCAGGGTTCTTTTTTGTATAAAATTTGTCCACAAATTGATACACTGCAAATGTTTACTTATAGAGCTGTATCACAAGGTTTATTGTTTGAAAATGTTAACAGTATCAGATGCACGATTTTGATGGAAAAAAAAGAGCGGAGAAATATTTTTGTTTTTTTCAAGTTTTCGATATTTTCTCATGTCAAGTTGCATGATAGTATTTATATCTGTACTTGCATGAACGTTTAGAAAAATTAATTAAATAGAATATGGTAATGATATTTATCGTACGTGATTGATAAGACGCTTATGAATACTTAGAAACAAAATTGCAAATCATAAAATGAATCGTTTTCGTTTTCAGAAGATCTACAATCTCATTTGAAAAACAAAAGAACGATGTTTTCCTAAAAAAACAAATGGAATCGTTAGCGGAAATAAATTTTTGTCTCGAGTGTCAAGTATGGTTTGAATTGTTCAAAACAAGAAGTTATTCAAAATAGTTTATTCGATATTTTTTCAGTCTTCAGATTTGGCGTTGAACAGATCTCCTGATAACATTTGATTACTATCATATCTAGAATTTTGACACCTTGCAACAAGATTGAATCTGTGTAAATTTCTTCGAAAACAAAATATTTCTTTCATGAGATTTAAGTTGTTTTATCAAAAATATTTTTTTGCTTGCTTTTGTCTAATTGAATAATAGAAGAGTAGACACTATCATGTCAATCAATCAGATTACTCTTCATTTGACGTTTCGATAAAAGAAAAAACACTAATAATTCGAAGCATCTCATGCTCTATACGATTATATTTTATGATTTATGTAACTACATCATATAACTTATCTTAAATAAAATGAATGATCCACAACCTTGCAAATAGTCTGTATTTATTTTCTCAAGTTTTCAGCATTCCATTGACCAATGATATCACATCTGAATATGGCTTGTTTATTAGAAATAAATTTTTATAAAATTCTATACAATAATGCTCTCCTGAGTCATAATAATACAATTTTATTCCATAGTTCACTTTAGCATTTGATAGTTTGTAAAGTTTCTATATGATATTTAAAAAAAAGTACTTCATTCTCGTTGTTTCATACCAAAATAAAACAATTAAATATGTATCATTTGTTGTATCAATCAATTGAAAACAAAAAATATGATCATATGGTGTTTTTTTGTTTTACCTATACCACGATTACTAACTAACAACACAGTTAGATGTGTTTGTACGATGATGAAATGTGACATCGCATTTAATAATATTATTGCACAATCTTTCGCAATGCGATCTTTCATCTTCTATATTTCTCCTCGGCATTTTTAATAAGAATGCTTTTAATTGACAAGTAGATAAATAGACCATAATTTTAAGTAAGTATTTGAATACTGATTTTTTTTTCTTTTTAATAAATTTGTGTACTATTTTGGGCAACATGAATACATATATTTATACGATTATTATTTAGTATATGCAAAGAGAAAGACACACTAGGTTTTCTTTTTATCATAAGAACAAGATTTAGAACAGAAAAAAAAAGAAGAAAAATAAAATAAAATTTGAATTGAATTAAAACTTCATTTAAAGTACAATAAATACCTCACGAACGCGTATATAAATGTGAAAGATAAAAATCTTTGGGCTTAATTTTGTTAAATACATCAACAACAAAAAAAAATATATATATGTATATATGTAGATACAAAGAGCTCATCGTATAATTTTTTTTTGTTATTACTACTCAAATATTATGCTTATGAATTTTTTTTACTAATTTGTAACTTATTCATTCATTGGAAAGTAAATGACGTTTACCTTTAGTTGCTGAATTGCGATTGCCAATATGTAATGAACGTCTCAATGTATCAAATCGTTGACCGAGAGTTAGTTTTTTATGATCTATTTCATCATGATCATCATCATGATGTTGATGATCAGCGTCTTCATCACTACAATTTTGTATTTGTACATGTTGCTGTTGTTTTGCATGACGTTTTTTAAGTAAACGAGATAGACGTGTACGAAATGATGGATTAAATTTGTTTTTCTTTGTCGATAAATTTTGTGGTTGGTCATTTGATGATGAAACACAGTCCAAATCTGGAAGTTCACTTATACAAAGTGTTGGACAATCTGGATTTGGTACAGTAATTCTAAACGAGAGAAACTTTGAATAGTGTAAATAATGGAAGAAAAAGAACTTGAATCATGTTACTCTTACGAATGATACATATATGTTGGTGCTAATGGAGCTTTTCGTCGTTTCGGTGAAATTTTTGTTTTTTCATTTTCATTTGTTGATGCTACTTGTGTTGGTTGTGTTGGTTGAATTAAAGGTGATGTAAGACCTGTTGATATTGGAAGAAGAATCGTGTCCGCTGGCAGGTTTTCATCGTGTTTTTTTAATAGTAGACGTTTATTTGAATTTGTACTTTCAAGTCGAGGACGTTGTCGTGTTAGAGTATTTCGAAATGATTTTCGAATTTGGTTTGTTAATCTATCAATTGGACGTACACGCGTCTTTGTATTGGATGGTAATGAAAACGGATCATCATTATCGTAATCAACATCATCATCATGAACATAATTCATGTGATTATTATAACCATGATCCGATGATTTCAAAGTTGTTGTTTCTGGTGATGATCGAGCTTGTGGTGACGATGAATAACGACGTCGTCGTCTTAAAAAACTTTTTGATTGATTTGATTTCACTAAATTTGAATTTGAATTCGATAAACCATGAGCATCAATACGTGGATTCGTGTGATCATCGCCCAAAGGCTCTTTTCGTCTACGATAACTAAATGACTTACGTAGACTATATTTCATTCTTAAATAAAAGAAAATATGATAAATTACTTCAAAAAAAAATTATAAATCCATCAATAGGTCATACAACCTTGAAGATATTTTTATACGTAATATGAGAAAAATGGCGTGAGCGAAAAAACATGACTATAATTGTAAAAGAAAAGAGACTCATGGCAAGGCCGTCACTATTTTTCCTTTCCTCATTTTTCTTTTTCTATTGTCGACTCGGTTTTAGTTGCTTTCAAATAAAAAGAAGAACATGAGTGTAGTGTGTGTATGTTGATTTTGAATTAGAATCTAAGTAAAAAGAAAATGGAGGAAGGTATCCAACAAGAATAATAGGAAAAAAATCGTTGCCGTCGCAGCAACATCAGTCATAAGAAAATGTACGTGATGTGTGCGCAGTCGAACATTTCAGATAAAAATAAAAAACAGAAAGAAAAAGCGTAGGCAATCTGTAGCAGACTGAAGAGGGTAAACAAAAAAAGGGACGAAGAAAAAAACCTAATATGAAAATGCCAAACATGGAACATTCTTTTTCTCTCTTTTCCTTGAAATAGTAACTACAAAGCAGCATGTCATGATTGTCGCATCCTATAATGAACATTTCTCGCCCCCTATCTTTTTCACTCAAGCATAAGGGGGAGGATTAATGAAATAAATGAGCCCATATGGAGAAACTAGACGAAAAACAAAACGTCAATGTAAATAGATTTCTGGCAGAGTAAAATGAATACGATATAATCTATCGGTTATTTTGTTTTACCTAAAAATGATATCTCGCCATTAACATCACGCGAAAAGAATAAAATTAACGGAGAAAGAGATGTGTAGAATACCCAATAATTGTCTACAATAAGTCGCTAAATCTATCATCTTCGTAACAAGCAGACATCTATCACGAACGAAAGGAAAGAAACCAACTCTCTCTACTTATGTAGTATATACTAAGAAGTCAGAAAACGTACATGAATGTAAACGTAAGATTTTCTTCTTATTTTTCTTTGTTTCGACAGTCATCTGTTGTTCGTCTCTATCGTCATCGTATCAACCATAAAGAAATACCATTAGTCTTTGTTGTTCTTCCCATTTGTAGTAGAAGAGAGAGAGAGAGAGAGAGAGAGAGAAAAGAAACAAATAAAGATATGCCTGTACATATATTGGGGTACATAATATCTGTTCAGATAAAGAAAGTGTTAAATTACAAGATTGCGTTTGGATTATATTTACGTATTAAAACATAAGTCACATTGTTTAGCTTATTAAAGTAGTGAAGAATTTTTTTCTAGTCTTCTATTGAACCAATAAGCTTTACGCTTAAAAAGAGTATCCCTAATGCCATGAATAAACTTGATGATAAATTTGATTAATAATATACATCATTTATCATTATTCGAAAAATGAGTTCAACAAGTGAGTGAGCGTAAGAAAATATAAATTGATTTAACAGTAAATACAACATAAAATAATTCGTTAAGAATTCATGAGATGAGCTACGAAATAGCCGTTTTATTCAAAACTCGATTTGAGTTTTAACAAATTTTTACTCACGCAATGATCAATTGGAAAATTACTTCCTGAGGTCATGTACTTTCAAACATAATTTGAACTACAGTTCTAGAAGTCAAGTCAAAGAACAAAATAGAAACTGTAATGAAGATATCATTCTGCTTCGATCATCTGACAAGATAGGGCCATAAAAATTTGCTTTTTTCCTTGCCAGGACTCACACTCTGATATGTACTTCAAGAACATGAATGCTATAGATAACATTTTTTCTAAGAAAAATAAACTAAATGTCAATTAGATGATAAATTAATATATTTTGCATTGTTAAACTTTCTTCGCACATGAAAAGAATGAATAAATGATCAGATCTGAGCAACCGAATTCTTTCAAATCAAAAGAAAACAAAAAAGGAAAATTGACACTCTTATTCGTCTCAATCTCTTTTTTTTCTAGAATTCTATTGTTCATGATATTTAATATGTATAGTTTCTAATAAAGAAATATACAAGATAATTCTCAAAAGAATTTCTTCGAATCAGAATACTGAACAACATGATGATTTTTTTTCTTCGTGAATATTTGATATATTCTTTTAGAACAGTAGCTATATTTTAAATAAATAAAAATGGCCACAAATTATTCCATTTCATCAATACCTAATTGGGCTTTAAATGCAATGTCTTGTGGTTCTAACGACTCATTTCTTTTAGTAAATATTTTTCCAATTGGTATAGCTGATAATTTTTTTTCAAAATTACGTGATGAAGTAAACTGGAATGAAATGAAACAGAAAGGTGGACGTGTGCCACGTGATATCTCTATTCAAGGTGCCCTACATATTGAAGATAAAGATGAATATGAACCACTTTATCGTCATCCAGCCGATGAGCAACCTGAACTTGTACCGTGGACGCCAACAGCGTTAATTATAAAACAAAGAATTGAAGAAATTATGGAGCAAAACTTAAATCATGCTTTAGTACAATATTATCGCAATGGAAAAGATTTTATTGGTGAACATTCTGATAAAACATTAGATGTATTAATTGATTCAAATATACTTAATTATAGTTTAGGTGCCACTCGAACTATGATTCTCAAACATAAAACTCAAAGTGGCTTAAAACAACGTTTTAAATTACCTCATAATTCATTATTTGTATTAGGTTGGAGAACCAATCGTGAATGGTTTCATTCAATTAAACAAGATAATCGATTAGATATGGATAAAGATACGGATGAATTAGCTTTTTCTAGTCAACGTATATCATTAACATTTCGCACGATTGCTACTTTTCGTAATCGTCGAACAGGAAAATTATATGGACAAGGTGCACGTTGTAAAACAAAACATCAATTAGAAGAAGAAGAAGAAGAAGAAGAATTAGAATTTGATCATGACGAAGAAAATATGTTACATGCATTTAGTGCTGAAAATAAGCAATCGTCTGATTTTGATTGGAATCATTATTATGGAAATGGATTTAATGCAATAAATTTTAAAGTTTTAAACTCTGTTTTTTTAATGAAGAAAAAAAACTGAAATAAAAGATATAAGTTTGCCATTATATATCGCGAATACATATTTAACAAAGAAGATAAGAAATTGAACGAAATGTATTATTTTTTTGTTTTTTTGTTCATGTATGAACTATGAATAGCAGATTTTTAACTTGTTGTTGTCGCTGCTGTAGCTGTTGCTGCATTTGTGGGATGATTATCATCGAATGCATCTAGTGTATTTCGTTTAAAGTCTTGTAATGTATTGCTCAATTTATTAAAATCATCTTGTTTTGGATTTGTTAAAAATTCATTAACACCATATAAACGTAATTTACCTTGATCATCACCTAATATAATTTGTTGACCATTATGAGCCCATAAACATTTGTTCAAAGCAACATTTCCATCAAGTGTTGTACTTAACAATGGCAATTCTGAATCATGATTCAAATTCCATATATCAAAACGACCAGTGATATCACATGTTAAAAATACACTTGGATGTACTGGTGACCAACGTACATCGGTAACATAATCACTATTAACTTCAAATGAATTTAATGGTTTAGATTCTTTCAATGACCACAACTTGACACTCCAATCAAATGAAGAAGTTAAAAATAACGGTGAGAAATCTATTGAACCATTGACATTATGACAACTGAGACCTTTATAATAATAATAAAAAAAGACAAATGTAATGCATTCATATTTACTATAATTATTTTTCTTTCTATCGAAAGTAAAACAAACCTGTGATTGGACCAAAATGTCCTTCATAACTTTCTTGAATTCCTGCTTTATTTCCATGTCTTGAACCTGAATAGGCTTGTCCTTCTTCACTTCCAATGATAAAATTATTTACTTCAACACCCGGGAAAACCATTCGTGTTGCTGCAACAGGCTTTGTTCGATAGGCTAAATCCATACTCTCTTGTGGTTGTGTCATCATTTCAATATTCCATGAACACATTTTGCCTTCATTCGATATTGAAATTAAATTATTTGCATTTTGTGTACCAATAACTTGCAAACAATAGACCGGATGAGTATGTGATGAAGCTGATAAGGCTGTACGTTGTACAGGTGTTCGTTTATTTGTCCGAGTGTCCCAAACAACAATTTGGCCACTATATGTACCACCTAAGACAATATTTGGATGAAATTTACTAAATGCACATGATGTAACCCATGATTGACAATTGAATACATACTAAAAGTTAAAGATGAATTAAAATAGATAGGAAGTATGTTGACCTTGATACAACTATAATAATAATAATAATAATAATAATAATCACATTTTTATTTATTAGATCGTAATAAACAGGAAGTTTTATAAGGTTTTTTCAATATTAAATATAAATTTGTATAACATAAATTTATTGAGTGTAGAAAAGATTTCCTCTGAAATTTCGATTCGAAATTGACGCTTTTCGCACAAGATATTTATATACGGATGTCAAGTCTGAGAAAAGTTCTGAATTGCTAATCCATATCATTTATAGTCAATTTGACTCACATCTTTCTTTTAATTTGACACCAGTGACATGTGCACACTCTCTCGCAACGTCTACAAGATTAATAAATCTGATTAAAAATGAAAAATCAATGAGTTTAACCTCATTGCATTTTGAAATATTTTATATCGAATTGCTTTGGTAGCTATTCTATTGTTATTGAATCTTCGCTGAAATGAAATTATATTTTATTCTGAAATATGATTTAAAAAAACTGCGTGAGTATAGAGAGAAGTTTCTGAACCTCTCTTCCTGTGGATTGTGAGATACCTTGCTTTTTTCTATAATCACTGATAATACACTAATGATATCTCGTTCGAAAATAAGAATGATTTTGTTACTGTATGCCAAGATGCTTAAGTAAATAAATGTATTCAAAGATAAATAGAATAAAACGCAATCCCTGTCATTAGCAACACTAACTACTTCATGTATTACGTTTGAATCATAGACAGAGTACGTTGACATTTGTTTTTTATTCTTAAGAAATCAACAACAATTCGTTATCGTTCTTTTTTTTGAAATATGATATAAAAGAAAGGCTGTCTTGATTGATGATTGTAACAGCTGTTACATCTGTTAAAATGGCTAGATTTTCTATTTTTCATTGTAAAATAAACTCTATCATGCAGTGTATAAAGTCTTTTTTTTTATCGAATTCTTATCGAAAAGGAAAATCAACAATCTCCTCTATTACTGTTTTCGCCTGTGAATTGTATTTTAAAATAACATAATGCTTACTTCAGGTGTTGGTTTCGATTTATATTTTGAATTCCAAATAAGTACCACACCGTCTGACTCATGTGATGATTCATCATTTTGTGAATATGACGCAAGAACTAATTCAGGATGGTAAGTTGATGTATCAATACATGTCACAATACGATGACGTGTCCAACGTTCATCGAAAAATTCTCGGTCAAATTTAATGATTTCTCCAACATCCATTTTTTCATTTTGTCCATCTAAATCTCTTCCACTATAATCTTTAAATATATCGAATGCTTTTGGACTTTCCCACAATGAACGCTCAATTAAACGTGATGTACGAGAAAAAAAATCTTGAAAAGGATCACTCTTTAATATTTGATCACGTTCATCATTTGTTAATTCATGTTTCGTTAATGATGCTTGACCTTGTAAACTTTGCTGTTTATGTTGTTGTTTAAGTGAACGTGCACGTTTTAATTCTATTGCTGGTGGTAATGTCATACCAATCGATGCTTTTGAAGTCTCATCAAAACTCATTGTATCATCATCACTAACATAAACAAGACGATTATGTTCGCCTGTTGTTGATGGTTGAAATTCATCGTCCCACTGTAAATGATCATGTTGAATTGGACTTGCTGTTGGATCTTTTTCACCAGATTCTATCGTTTGAACTTCTTTTGAATATGTAACTAATTCTTTTGGTGGTACACTTATTGTTGCCGCTGGTTGCTGACATATTTGTAATGCAATATTTGCTGGCGGTCGACGTTTTTGTTGTGAGGATGCTGTTGCTGGTGATACCGACGGTGAACTCATCGGTAATGATGCTGCTTGATGAATACCTACTTCTTTTAATATTTTATCAGGATCAGCATCTTCTCTCGGTGCTGATAATCCAGCCATTGATATCGAAGATATATTTGGCGTCATTGGCGTTGTTGCACCTGGTTTTTGTGATTTTTCTTGTCGCATCTTTTCCAATTTAGCTCGTTTAACTTCGAGCTCAGCTCTACGTTGTTCGGCCGACATTTTGTTTTTTCTTATTAATACACAAGACCACAAACTAAGAAATAAAGAATCTGAAGGAGAATAAAAGCATACAAGTCTATATATATATACTACAAGAATATCTTTTGAAAAGCAATTGCAACAGATGGTTTGACAATATTTTCATTGTATTTTTTATTTGATAGAAACTGTGAGCATATTTTATTTAGTGAGCATAACATCATCTGACTATAGGTGTGAAGAAGGGTGAGATATTTTAAAATAGACTACAAAACAAGTAACATTTAAAAAAAGAAATAAAAGAAAAACGTTTTGAGCATTACGAATACGTCGACACAAAACCGGACAAAAAACTGAGATTAATTTAATATGTAAATGCTATATAGACGATTGTCAGGAAAGAAAAGGAAAGGAAGCATCATTCTCTCTAGCAAAAACCAGCATTCGTATTGCCAATAAAAATTGTGAAAAATACATTCAATTAAAAGTCTATCTGACTACTAAATTTAAAAATAAAAAGAAACGGAAGAAACTATGCGTGAATAGGTGATTTACAAAAGAAAGAGAAAAGGAATCATGCACTGTTATAAAAGAAAAGTTTCATTTCATTGAATGATTGATTGATTCTGTATCTACTAAGCGCTCATTCATTTTCGATGAATATTCGTCATCATCATCTTCAACTGGAAAACGTGCTTCTTCGTCAATATCAGATTGATTACCAAGATTATTTTGTATTAATTCATCATCTTCTTCATCTTCATCAATATCTTGATCATGATTATCGGCCGATGGCACTTCAGGTATTGAATGTATTAATGGTGTTGTTGCTTGTTGTGAATGATAGTTTTCATTATTAAATGAATTTGTTGTCGACGATGGAATTAGTATGGGTTGACGATATGCTTGCCGAAGAAGTATTCGTTGATGTTCATCACTTGAACTATTTGTTGTTGTACCATCAAGTGTAAGTGCTGTCGATTTTTTTTTCAATGGCAGTGCTTTTGTTCGTTGAAAAAAACCCAGCTAAAAGGGAAATTTCAAAAAAATAAATAAAAATAAAAAATAAGCAGATGTCGAATAATCAGATAAACACAAAAAAAAGACAAACACAACGAGCAATTATACCGGCTATAAAAGATCAGAGGATAACTATTTAAAGAAGAAGAAGAGATGATGGTGGTCGAACACGTTGAAAAAAACCGACCTAGGCAAGAGAAGATGAATGATGTCTAATGTTTCTCGTTTAATTCTTTTTTCGTTTTTTCTAATAGAAAAAAAGTTCTCCACTAGTATATAACATACCAAACAACAAACAATAACTATGAAAACAAGAAGGATAAGACCAGCCATTGCTCCAACTAATGGAACCCAAAGAGGTAAACGTGGTACAATTATTTTATCTGATCGATTTGCAAATTCTGCAGGTGTTGTAGCCTTAAAAATAAAGAAAATAAACGTTTAATTCATTTCGTTTCTTTTGCAAAAAATATAAGAAGATTATTACTTACTGTCGCATTATCATTATCTGTTGATGTTTGAAATATCAGTAGATCATTGATATGTATTGATGCAAATGATTGTATATCAACGCGATCATATCCGTCAAAATAGTTTTCAATCAAAGTACTATTCCATAATCGAGCACGAAGCTTTATAAAATAATAGCTTTGTGCTGAAAGACCATTAATATGGCAATATATTGGATAGCAACGAACAGTTGGAGAATTCGGATCGCATGTTAATGTTAGTGAACGTATCGAGAATGATGATGTTGTTGGTGTTATTGTTGTTACTGCTGCTGATATTTTAGAATCACTAGTGCCCTCAACATTTTGTTCATCACGACGTTGTCGAGTATTAGACGACGTTCGATTAAGTGAATCAAGTATGTGAATATGATCACGCCATTTAGGTAATCGTTCACATTGACCATCGATTTTAGTACCTGTACTAGTTAGTGTTGATGAAATTTCAATAATGGGCTCTTCAACAAGATATAATAAAATTTTTCCATTTTCCCATTCATTCTCTAACGTTTCGTAGGGCCATAGTATAGTTACATTATGTGAGCGAACATTGTTGGGGCCACTATTAATTATCTGAATGATGAAAATAAAATTTAATATTCGTCTGTTACTTGTGAATAGATATTTTCTTGACTCAATTCAATGTGTCACATATTTTAAAAAATAGTCTTCAATCTTCATTTTTTTAAATTTATGTAGCCTATGACTAGCACTTTTGTGGGACTATCGTTCTTGAATTACATTTCTGATGAATAGAATTCATTAGATAATATATATTTTATATCATTGAATATTAAGATATTCTCTTTCGTTTTGTTCATTAACCTTAGCAAATTCTCTTTCATGTACTCCAACTATGATAACGTATGATATACGACGGTCATTATGTCTTGAACTATCTGTTTCTACTACAACAGATAAAATATGAATAATTTGCTTTGATAAAAAAAAAGGATAACACTGACAGGCTGAACACGATATCATTATTGGAACTTGTTTCTTTACACTGAAAATAAACCACCTCGGATTTTATGTCTTAATTTTTTTGTCGAAAATTTTCAATTAGCGACCTATCATACATCTATTTTGAATCTAAGTAGCTTGTAACATTCATCAGGTAGTTAATGAAAAATTTAAATGGTCTTTGCAATTTTTCAAATCAAAATATCTTTGAATATCTATTTCTTCATATCTTACTGTGTAAATATGCGTAACTTCCATTCCGAATTGATCAAGATTTTTAAGTGAACTCAAGCCAAGAATTCCTTCACCACTAACTGAAACTTGTTCAGGTTCATGCCCAGCACGTAGATTTAAATCAGTTTTTAATAAAACTTTTGCTACGAGAGTAACATTATTATTGTCCAAATTTGTTTCATCAGTTAATGTTGTTGAATTAAATTCAAAGCGTAAAATATTACTTAATGATACATTGGATAACGTAAATACAAGTTCTGTTATAGAATATTTTTCTGGCGGAAATGGATTATTAAAAAAATCTGTCATTTTACAACGAACATGATTACGATGTATTGGTTGACATGAATAACTTTTATCATCCTTTTATGGGAAGAAGAAAAAACATTAAATTAAAATAAAAAATAACTTTTCTTATTAACCATAATTGCTTGTGAAAATTGAACAAATGATGTTGGGAAATAAACATCGATTTTCGTTCCAAATGCTGGATCAGCCTTACGACGACTTGGCTCTGATGGTACATTTGATAAATTCAGACGTATACGGATTTCAGAATCAATGCCAAGTACCGAAAGGTTTAATGTTCTAAATGTAAAAAGAAAATTCAATTAGAAAAGAAAAAGGAAATCCTATTTAAATAGTTTTGTGTGTTAAAAGCTGTAGGCGTGAAATCTTACGAATCATTGAAGAGGAATTTGCTTGATAAATGAATATAGATTAATCAATAACAATTATTTTTGTTTTAAAAAGAAAAATAATGCTAATTCTTACTTTTGCCCATTGATAAATTCAGCTGTTAATTGAAGATCAGTTATGCATTTATCGTCATTTCCACATCCCTTATAAAAATTTGCCTAAAAATTATCATAATGGTTCAGTATGTTTTTTTTCTGTTATGCAAATATAAAATATTTATTACTTGAAATTTTTTTGTTCGTTCTTCGTCAGTTGCATTAATCATTGGAATATTTCCTTCGAGAATAAATGGTTTGCCTCGAAGATCATTTCTATCTTGAGATATATTGTAAACAAGTGAAAAATGAATTGGAGTTAAAAAATCATCATTGCCACTCTAAAATTAGAAGGAAAAAAACGGAGGTGATCGAGTTCTTTTTAATGTTTCTATCGTTTCATATTACAACTTCTAATTAAGTATCTATATCCTTAAAATAGTTCATGTCCTTGAATATTTCTCAATGAGATATCAAATTTCTATTCGTAATCATACTGTAAAAATCAATTAGAGAAGAATAAAACAAAGTGCTCAGTTAACTGTTCAAGGAAATAGTACATGCCATTGTTTCTGTTTTCTGAAGAATTATTTTATTGAATTATGTCATAGAAGAGCAAAAAGAAAAGGCAACAGATGAATCAAGACACTTCATCTCTTGAGAATAATGCATGAATAGGACAAATCAGAATACCGCTTGACTTTTTTTGTAATATTAAATTAGATTTTTATAATAAGATTTATTCATTGTTAACGATTGATTATATTTATTTAAATGGGATAAGAAAGACAATCGACATATATCTATATTTATGAATTACGATGACTGCATCATATTCATATGCGATTATGTACCTATCGAAAATGTTAGCTACATCCAAATATTTGAAATTTTGCGAATATACAATCGATGATGAATTTCAATTGAGCTATCTCGAATTCGATTAAAATAAAATAAAAATCGATCAAAGCAAACCTTAGTAATGAATGTTTGATTTTCACATGTATTTAAAATTTGTTTATTTGTTATTGTAGGTAAATGATTGACAGTTGATAAAATTCTTCGAATTGTTGATAAAGCATCAGCTGTTAATGTATAAATAATAATTAAATTTTGTGCTAATTTATCATTTGATTCAAAACATAATCGCACGTCAAAACTATGAAAGGAAATCGATAAAATATTTAAAACAAAAAAAGGATTGTATTTACCAAACGACAGGTGTTCCGTCTATTGTTTTACATCGACGATTTTCTGCGCTATAACGAATTGATTGTAATTCTTTCATATTTTCAATACGTACATTAACATTTACTAATGGATGCGATCTATAAATTCAGAGATATAAAATATGGATATGTTCTTTTATTTAAAATAACGTGAGAAAAAAAATTACTTTAAATAAACAATCATATCTGCTTTAGGTATACCAATAATTAAGGATGGATAGTAGATTAGAATTGTTGAATTCGATGACACTATAGATGATGACAATATGGAAGACTTAAATGGTGATTGTGTAGCTAGTGAAAATCCAAAATCGTTTATAATTGTTGTTTGTTTCGAATTAATTAATAATTGAGTTGGTACAATTTTTTGCGTATACTTTGTTAATTGACTTGTTCGAGAGCCAAGATAAATGTAGACACTACCTGTGTGTATATCATCTTTTTCTCCTGGTGCCGATATTGCTAAATCTAAAAATAATTTTTGCAATTTTTATGGCATAAAAATCGAAAAAATTTGATTTGTTTTTTTAGACTTACCATCGATTCCATCTTTATTTAGATCAGGTATACAAGCAATAGCAAAACCAAAACGCGAATGGATCGGTGGCTCAAATAATACCTGACGTCGATCATTGGAATACTAGAGGGGAAACGAAATGAATTGATGTTTTAAAAATGATTTGTTTTTTTGTTACGTACCTTTCCATTTAATCCATAATAAATATAAACAGCACCACCATATGACGGCTTTTTCGAATAGTAGAATGGTGCACTTACAACAAGATCTGTATAGCCATCACCATTTAGATCTCCAGCTGTCATTGAATGTCCAAAATAACTTCCTATCTGTTCTCCAGTTAGAATAAATGGTATGGAATGATTAGTATTATTGAGTTGAAATATTAATTGTAGCGTATCATAACCAAAATTATTTGTTGATACAAAACGTTTGGTATAAAAACGAATTTCTCCTAGACCATTTGATGCTCGTGGTGCTGATGCAACAAATATATATGATCTATCATTGAAATCTCGAGTTTTACTTTTGATAATTAGTACTGAATAACCTATTAGATAAAAGCAAAAAGTATTTTGTTTTGCATTATTCGATGAATATTTTTGACTTTTATATACCTAGATAACTATATGGTAATGGTGTTGAAGAAGCTGATTTGTATGCATGCAATTGTCGTAAAAGAGTATCAGAATAATCAGCTTCAATTCGACCAGACCATTGGAAGGCACCCGGTTCACCAAATGCAATTATATCTGATCGCTTTAATTAAACATAAATTTTAGATTTTTCTAGATTTAATTTAAAATAAATATCTTACTCCGCCCGATGGTATATATGCTAAACTAAGGCCACTTTGACATAGAGCACTACCTTCATGTAATAATTCGGTTTCAGAATTTTGTTCACAAAAATCATAATAAGACACATCTTGCTAAAAATTTAAAAAATAGAAACAATCAACACAGATATTCATTGTATGACTCTAGTTATTTACTTGATCAGATGAAACTTTATAGCAAGCACCGCGTGTATCATATCGATCTATACTAATATTGCGCATTAAGCGATAACCACATGTCTAAAAAAGAAACAAAATTTTTATGTTATTAATATTTGTTTTTCTGAAAATCAGTTTTAATACGTACGACAAGTGAATCATCGGACGTCGCTATAAGTGATGAACCAAGCCAAGCATCATCGAGTACATTATGAAATGACGGCATCGCTTCGGATAATTGTTCTAGAAATGAAACATATTGAAATTAAGTTTAAATAGCAAAATCTCAAATAAATTTTACTCTCAATAAGAATCGGTCGGCATTCATCTGTACCATTTGGACATTCAAATATATTACCAAATATACGACCATTTGGTATAATTTCAGTACTGTTCAATGCTACTACGGAAGATGGTGGTTGTCGAGTAAGTAATGCTCGAGGTGCACCAACATAAGTCCTATAAAAATATGATTGATAATTAAGAATGATGGTACTGGTATAAAATTTTACCAATGTTGTTTAGTTGACGATGATACCACAGCAAAACCAAAAAGAGATTTTGGAGGACCTGTTCGTAGAGTTGGAGAAATTATATCAAGATTGAATGTTTTGACCACCGGTATATAGGAACAGATAGATAAAGTAAATAAAAACATGAGAAACATTTCTAAATTGTTCTAGCGATCGACCATCAATTTAGCTTGCTCGACCACATATCAACATTCACTGTTTAAGGAAGTAATTTGAACAAAATGTCATGAATAGAGATTGAATAATCATTCTAGCCTTGTATTCAACGATTATGATTGGTTTACAAAGATATCATTTTCATTTTCATCTTCAACAATTCTTCATTTGATAGAGGTCGTTGATTGGTAGGCATGGACTATGTTGTGATTTTGATCTCTTTGATGTCTTGCTCATACGCGAGTTCTATTACTTTGATAACAATGATTGATGAACTTAGCTTTGACTAATATAATATCAGATTCCGTTTGATGCATTCAAAAGAAGTAATTGATTATGGAGCAAGAGCAAGTTTATGCAATTTTACAATATATACTTCGCTGTTGTGGCCTTGTTCTGCTTTTTTTTCAATACAATTTATTTTCATTATCATGAAAACTTGAACATAGTACATTACCGAAACTACCAAAGAGAGCATTTCATCATGTTCAACACTCAAAGTTCTTTTTCAAACATTGTGAAAACTGAATGTCCTCAATCTTTTTGGTCGTGAAAACAGAGCAGATTAAGACGCTTTGCGTGTTCATTAATATCATGCAATTGTTTAGGTAGTGTTGGTTCAAGATTAGCAGAGTATTAATTCGTTTTGAACATTGAAACTGTGGAGTATATCATATAACCAATTACGAGCGTTATATTTATGAAGTAAAATAAAAGGACTATTATATATATATATATTGCGTATGAAGAGATCATTTTATTTGGGAATATTCATTTAAGAATCTTCTAACTTTGGAATACTAGTTGAATGAATGAATATATTAATTCATTCACACTAACTATTTCTTTTCAGCAGATAAAATTTTGTTCGTATTTCTAAAAGGATCTTTATTTGAATTAGACTTGTCACGTTCGTTCATTTCGTAGATATTTGATTTCAATATTGAAAATCGATAAATACGCGAAAACTATCATTTTGAATTCAATTAATCGTAGCCTAGTAAACAAAATATGCATGTAGATTTTAGTTAATGGTAGTGTCGTCATTCCTCTCTATAAAGTTCACCGTGTGGATTCATTATGCCATACAGCATTATGAAATAATATTGAAATAAAATCAGCATAACTAATTTTTATAGCTCCTGTATATGCTGCTTGAAATCAAATTTTCAGAGTCGAAATAACTCGGCTTCACTGAGCTATACGAAAATGAAAAAATGTAAAATTAATTATGATTGCTGCACTTGTTAATAGCCCTGAATCGATATATGAAGAATTAAAAAGTACATCATTAGTTTGTCATTAAGATGTGGATGTGGGATGTCGATCAGAAAAACGTTTTGATGAAAATGTCTGTTAATAATATTGAACCATTAGGAGCTTACCGAACACTTATTTAATTCATTTGAAATACAAAAATAACTTTCAATAAACTTGAAATAAATATTCGTTGATTTAATAAATACAATCTGATCATTCTTGCGTATAATTCAATATTTCGCATAATGAAGGAAATCATTGATTTTTATTTTCTTCCGAATATTAGATTTCTTCATCAAGAATTCTTTTAGTGCACTTTGTCTTTAATTAATTATACATTGTATGCTTCCTCACTCTAGAAAAGAACAATTCGTATGAAACATAAATTTAAATGATAGAAAAAAATCATGCTTTTCCCTTTTGCTGTATTGAAAATCGAAACTTTTGATCAATTCGTAATTTTTAAGGGCTATCTTTTTGTGATCTTACATGAAAAAATAGATCACTTTCATTCTATGTTCGAGGAGCAAAACCAAATCATAAATAATTTAATTCAACTGGTCGACCGTCCTAAAAGAACATCGTTAATTAGCGAAAATCAAACTCATTCTTCTGTTACTTTAAGTGTTTAAAACCAGCTACCAAGAATTGATTGATAAGGTACAACGAGATCATTTCGATTCTTATCTTGTTTAATAAATTCAAAACCATTATCTTTTGAAAATCTTTTAACGAATCTTGTATCTTGAATGGAATTTACACAATTGTTTCTTGTAGATAAAGTCTATTATCTGTAATCGAAAAGTATTTTGTTGTCGAATAAATAGATATTTGAATGAAAATGTCTGAAAAAACAATTGAAAAAATATGATATTAAAATTGACACAAAACTAGCAGAAAATAATAGAAAACCAGTATGAAAATTAAATTTTGAAAGAAGTAGATTCTTCACTTTTTTCATTCAATAAGACGATTTTTTCATACACTTCTTTGAGATAAATTTAATAATTCTTTTTTAATTCATTTTGTATACAAATGAAATTCATGCATACGAGCAAGATTGTTCTGCAGTCAATTTTTTTGATTCCTATCTAACATTTTGTATGTAGCCGCAACTGTAGTTGCAAGTTAGAATGAGAATTGATTATTAATTAAAAACTAAAGAATACCATATGTGGTCAATGATATTTTAGTAAACAGAGAACCAAACCGACTGCAAGTATATAGAACAATACTTTCAACGATCATCTATCTTTTAATTTATACGAAAAAAACAATTTTGCACATGAAGTCTTTTCTGTGTACTTTCTTTTTACCTTCTGCGAACAGAATTACTTTGATCGTTTCTTCACGCATAACTAATAAAATTTGTGAATTTGGAACTCTCTTGATGCTTTATGATTTTTTTCAGCCAACAAACTAATTTCTGTTAACATTAAAAAGGTGATACTATCATGAATATTGTTGAAGCACAGGCCTTGCTATGAGATACTTTGCTGAAGACCTAAGCTTTTGTTTGGCGGTTGTGTGCGAAATTTATTACAAACAAGATAGTTGTCTAGTTGCTTTTCTTATACATATGCTTCAAGTGTACAGGATATAATCTACTTTCAAATATTTTCATAATACGGACACCAATACCGATTTATGAAGGATTCATTTCTTTGAAGACATATATTCCAGATTTTCGCAAGTCAACCTTCCCCTGTAGTATTTTTGCGATTGGCAAGGATTACCCATGTCGCGAAAATCGGCGTGATTTTGCCGATTTCTATAGAATCGGTGAATAAATCGCGATTTTTCTGCTGCATTTCTATGGTAACAAGCCAAAAAAATCGCCGATTAATTGTGCGCTAGAATTACCATAGAAATGCAGCAGAAAAATCGCGCTTTATTCACGGATTCTATAAAAATCGGCAAAATCACGCCGATTTTCGTGACATGGGTACTTTCATAAAAAGTATAATACTCAAATCTGACTTTACGCTATATTGATAATAAATCTTTCTTCTTATAAGTATAGTTTCTGTGAGATCTACAACTAGATGATGACACATTCAGAAAACGTTGCACAACAAAACGATTCTTTTATTTAAAAAAATGTTGTATAACAACAAAACCAATCCAAATTCAGCGTTTCTTAGCGCACGGATTGAAAATTCTTCGTCCTACACTATTTCCGATAGTGTTCATTGTTGAATTTAACGTGAGATCATTAATACCCAGGTGAAATATAAACGGTCGTAAACGATCGTAATCAGTCGGATACTCAATTTTTGTGATCGTATTATGGCCGTGTTTAGCCGTTTACGGCACGACAAAATACGACCGTAATATGGTGCATGCCAAAATGTTAACTTACGGCGATTTACGGTCGGAAACGGCAATAAAAAATAGTATACGTTAGCATTTTCGGCCGTTTCTGATCACTGTGTAATACTCGACCTGGGTAAGATCAAACACTCTTTTGCAATAGAATTTCAATTATTCTTCTTCGAATATTGCTGCTTCTATTAATTGTTGAATAGCAATCGTGATTGACATAGAATATTTGCTAGTTAAAAGTACCAATAGTTTATACAATTTCTCGAGATACACATTAAATTCGTCATTTTGTAGCTCAATAATCTCGGAAACGAAAGATTCGAAATTACTCATTCAAATGTGATAGGGGAGTTTCGAGATCGAACTACTCACCATTTGTTTTCGAACCGTCTGTAGTGCATTCAGTGCCCTTATCAATATTTTTCCAAAAGCAGGAATTTACAAGCATTTATGCTGTTTTGTTTTCTTTTCTGATCATTAAAATGATGCCATCAACGTATGTTAGCCATTAGTCTATTTGTTTACAACTGATCCAAGATAATGAATCATGAAAATAATTAATCGTTCAATCGATAGCTATCTCAGTAAACATGTTGATACGCATTGAGAGAGAGAGAGAGAGAGAGAGAGAGTTCTCGTGATGATGAATTTCTCAATGGTTGCTTTATTGATAGATAATAAATCATAGAGATAACTGAATGATATTGGAGTTTCACCTATATACAAACGCCATGCGAAGATAATATTTTAGGATTAAAAATGAATGATCGTCTTCACAATTAATTGGAATCCTTCATGTAGTCAAGATTTTCTAATATTTTTTATTTCGCCTTACATTTATATCAACGAATTACACTAGGTGGTATCGAATCTTTACTCGAATCTGTGATGAAATCAAAAATAGAACGAAAAACGAATAATCGATGCGTTAATTCAATAGAAAGTAGTATGCCACACGTGATTTTCATAGTCTTGTAGATTTACTTCTCTTATTCGATTCAAGAGTTTAGAAAAGAGAAGTTTCTTTTGAATTATTGAACTCCCTAGGTGGTCATAGTGAAATTCATGATAGTGAAAACTCTATTCAAGCTGATCAACATGTTCATAGAAAACGATATCGATTGAACGATTAATTATCTCTATGATTCATTATCTTAGATCAGTTACAAGCGAATAGACTAATGACTAACATATGTTGATGCCGCCATTTTAATTATCACGAAACATAAAACAATAGAAATGCTGGTAAATTCGTGTTTTTGAAACGTTGTTTGTAAAACAACAGAATTTTCTTTTAAATCTAAAATGAGTGTTACCGATTTGATCTCGATACGTTCATCTCTCCTTTAAGCGAATATTTTCTGAATTTCCGTTCTCGAAATTGTGGCTTCAA